TGGCAACAGTAAACATATGGAATATTATATGTCGTAATACTGCTCGTGTACGGTTAAACTGTGATTAATGATGACGCGTGGTCGGGTAAACAATGGTAAACACACATGCTGCACGGTTTTATGTGCATGGTATATTTATAGTCAGTGTTTTAGCCCGGTCTGTTTCAACATTACTCTCATGTTTCACAAACGTTTCTACAAAACGAACAGCTTTATACTAACATGAGTTTGGGTTCTTGGGGCAGAATTGAACATGCTTTTAGTTGGTTCGAATCTCATTTCACATTGATCGTCAAAAGCTTAGCGTTATCGCCCACATTTTCCTGACATAGAACCATCGACAGAGAATATTAGCCAATTCAGAATAATGATGTTCAATACAACCCTGAACAACGCTAAACCCTCAGCTTATGTTGACCTACTGGTTAACCAGCATCATGACCCGCCTCAGCTGTAATCATCGGACATCTGTCAAACCAATGAGTCACTCATGGTCTAACGCCGCTTCCAGCAATATTCCAGCAATATCATCCGGTTGGTGAGGATCGTTGCTCACGAATTCTGCGATAGCTGGAACATTGCGGAAAGGCGCAAATTCTTCAACATTTTTAATGACAGCTTCCATTTAACAGAACGAGCCATGTTTCCTAAAAGTCCTAAAAACGAACTCAACGGAAGTGTGGTAAAATTTGATATACCATGGAATACCAAATTCATGTAACCACGCTGAATGATATACTTTTTGAAATTTTGTGCATGACATTCACCAAGTAAAGAATTCCTATCGAGTGATATCAACCAGATTTCAGTGCTTCGGTTCTTATTTAAAAACGTTGATAACCCCATAATTCTAAGACTGCCTCACACTCCGCCATTCGTTTTACAATTTCCAATGGTACATATTAGACTGTCCCCCATTGTTAGCCCAATTTTCCAATATTGTTCCATTGCAGACTGCCACCGCAGTATCTGTTTGATTAATAAGTCAGTCTTGTGCAATACTGCTCACTGATTGCATCACAACCGTGACAATCATGATTTTCTTTTGCCAATAAACGCCAATGCCCAGGGGATATTAATACTCCCATCTCTGTCACATGAAAGGAAAGAGGATTCCAATAGGAAGGGACACAGTCGTATGCACGTTCAGAGACGATTGTAAACTTCAGGTGATGACTCCAGGTTTTACCGAACGGAATGGAATGTCTTGAACCTGAAGCATGTACACTGAATCGAGTCCATGACTTTCTTAACCTGATCAATGAACCAACATTCAAGATGGAGGACACGTCTGTACATTGGTTTATGTTTCCTCGATTGTTATTTTTTTCGTTTATGTCAGGCGATAAACTCTCTGCTCCATAAGTTGGCGTGTATATTTCCCAGTTATTAATACACTTAAATTCAATTCCTTTCATGCCCAAATTACAAATGTCACATCTGTCTGCATAACAATTATTTGATCAATGGTCCAATATAATGGGAGTCATAAAAATTGCAGAAAACGTTCTTGATAAACACTTTGAGGTCTGAAGACTTCTCTGTGGTGGCTCTGTTAATTTCTCAGCCTTCGAAGGACAATCTTATCAAAGTTTTCTTACTGAGATGAGAACGTCGGCAAAACATATACTCATTTGTCTACTGCTGCTTTCATACGTATTTAGGTCATGTCAGTTTTATGAGCAATAGCGTGCTGGACTGATTTACATCTAAATGTCCTAAGGATGCATGTTCAAGTTTGATCTTTAGATTTGACATACTTTGAAAATGTAGATATCGTCAAATTAATTACGGGAAGAATAGCCTCTTTTCACATTGCATCATTGAATCTGGACCAGACAAATCAGTGACTGAAAGAAGGAGCAAGACTCCCAAGAGTTAGGACAGAAGTAGCTGCCTCATGGTGCCAGAATTCAAGTTCAGTTGACTTTCATGACAACCCAGTTCCCAAGAGTGAGTGAGTGAGTGCGTGCGTGCCTGCGTGAGAGAGTAAGCGAGGTTTGATGCTGCTTTTAGCAATATTCCAGCAATATCACAGCAGGGTACACCAGGAATAGGCTTCACACATTGTACTCAAGTGGGGAATCGAACCCGGGGTCTTGGGTTGACGCGCTAACGCTTTAACCTATAGGTTCTGCTCTTCTGGTCTAGTGGATAGTTTCTGTCTGAAGAGCCTTGTGGCTTGATCCCCTGCCTGCGTCAGACCAAAAGACATTAACAGACAATACGCATTGTATCCTTGCCTTGTACTCAGCATTAAGGGCATAAAACAATGACTGGTTGCTCAAATACATTTCTGGGCATCCCTGTTAAAACTGTGACAAGGTATAAAAGTGAGCTAGTATGGGACTCACCCCACACACATCAGCAAGACTTCAATACTATTTCATCTCAGTTCACCACAGTAAATGGTTGTAGATGTTTAGAATATTCATTTATATTTATGAATATTCATAATTTAAACAGTTAAAGGCATCATTAATTAGTTCAATTTGTTATTTTTGCGAGCCATCTGGAGGACATCTCGCAATATAACATCTATTTGTGTCCACTCTGCTTATCCAGTGGCCAATATATTACATCCCTACAGTCCATTTGGGTTCAAATGAGAACGGTGAATGTTTAACTAACCCGAAATATCCTGACTAGTATCAGGACTAGTAGGGGTTCGTGCTGAGTTACACCTGAAGTGCGTAACGGCGCTGTTCCACCAGCCGTGTGTCACCCCTCGGTGTGAAGAGTGACAATAGAACAATGTTACATGATAGTTTTTTAAACAACTATTTCCGTGATCGATCATAGATTTTAAACCCGTGAAGATCCGGGGTAGAATAGGTCTTCAGCAACCCATGCTTGCCACAAAAGGCGACTATGCTTGTCGTAAGAGGCGACTAACGGGATCGGGTGGTCAGGCTCGCTGACGTGGTTGATACATATCATCGTATCCCAGTTGCGTAGATCGATGCTCATGCTGTTGATCACTGGATTGTCTGGTCCAGACTCGATTATTTACAGACCGCCGCCATATAGCTGGAATATTGCTGAGTGCGGTGTAAAACAAAACTCACTCACTCAGATTTTAGATCCTGTTGGGTACAAAGGTTTCAGTACCATATGTCTTTTTAATGTCTTGTGGATTAAAAGATTTAGTATACAATGTAAAAGGTACCAATAATTACATAACACCATGACTGTTGCCAGATTATACACCCTTCCATGCCCATTTGATGGACACTTTGTGTGGGTGATGCACTACTGTACTTGCTGCTCACAGTGGGCATAGCCGCTATTGAGTGACCTTGTTACGTAATCCCTGTCTTGCATTTTGGGCTTGAAACATGAGCGTCTTAGACATTGAACATACTGTTCTGCCATCGTCTTTGGATCTCAATGTCCAGCTACTATGGTTTACATGGAAACCTTTTATTGTTCTTATGTTTTTCTATTTTATAAAGAATTTAAAGAATGCACAGGTTTTTATGTAGCTTGTATATGTTACAGTCAATCTGTCAAATCAGTCATTTGGTCAAATTACTAAAACGATCAGTCATTTGGTCAAAAGGCTAAAAGTTTCAGTCATTTGGTCAAATGACTAAAAAAATAGAGATCTAGTTAGACCGATTGCCTGAACAGTTTTAGTCAATCCATCAATTGCAAGGCACTTGTTGTCGACATGCAGTCCCTACCCCAAAGTTCCTTCAAGTGGATTCTAGTGTACCAGGACCATTTGACCAAGTTTTGTGTGCTACGACCCTTAACATCAAAGAGAGCAGCTGAAGTTGCCTACCAGCTTATGGACATATTCCTGCTGTTTGGTGCCCCACAGATACTGCAAGTAACAATGGGTCTGAATTCACAGCTCAAGTAATCACTGAACTAAAAGAAATTTGGAATGGAGGCCAACGTTGGATTGCGATCAAGGTCACTGCCTGATGACATCCTGCACCAGCTGCATGAAACAAGAAACTGATTCCGAACAGGTTTCCAGTCTCCTCCAGTGACACGATTGTTGGGGATCTATTCACGCTGACACCCCATATTTTCATGATATTCACACAAGTAGAAAGTGAGTGAGTGAGTAAATGTTGCATCAAGCAGTATCAGCAATAGTGCAAGTAGACTGACTGACTGAATTTAGTTTTACTCCCCTTTTTAGCAATATTCCAGCAATATCACGGTGGGGGACACCAGAAATGGGCTTCACACATTGTGCCCAAGTGGGGAATCGAACCCGGGTCTTCGGCGTCACAGGCCAGTGCAAGTGGAAAGCCTTCTTATGGTGACAATATAATGATGAGTAGAGTGTGAGTTTTTGTAATTTGTATTATCATTGATTAAGTGATAGTTATTAATATTTAAGGTTTTGAGTGTGGGTTACATTTCGCATCATATATGTTCAATGGCAATACTATTTTTAGCAGTTCGCCTTTTTGATAGTGCTTCAAAGTTGCCTCCCTTGACTAACTTATTTATGGCTTTCATCATGTCGTGTTTGCGAGGCCTTTCGTGAATGTTCTCAGTGGATAAAGAATGTTCTAGGCTCTCTGTCAATATATATAAAGGCTGGTTGTTGTGTTGACACACACACGAAGGGACTTTTCATATCACTGGACTTGTGTGCATCATTCTGCCGTCACCTGCCTACCGTCGTCTGTCTGTCAACATCGTCTGTCTGTCAACATCATCGTCAAGACCGATTGTCTACTGACATTGTAAACTTCCTTCAATCATAATATCTGCTCTCATTGTAAATTTCAAGACTCTGGTGAGTTAATATTTCATATTTGTGGCCCATTACTTTAGATTTGTGACTCAGTTGCATTGTACTAGATATCTGTATTGTCATTCATTGTAGCTTGCTCATTGTTTGCTTAATATATTATTGAACATTTTAGACTTGTCTGTGTTATATTTTGCTGGTTCAAAGGGGACTCTTAAATCTGTTGTCACGGCAATTATTAACCGTAACAGTATCCTATATGAAACAACATAGTCTCGTGACATATAGAAAATAATTTATTAAGCAGTCCTTGCATGTAGGGAAGCATCTTCATCCCATCACAGTTTCATATCATTATCCATGCTCTTCAGTGTTTCCAGGACTTCATGATGAATGAAAGGCTCCACTCATCCAGCAACCTTCAGGTACCTCTTCTGACCAGAGCCAGCACTAGTGACTTGTGTCCAGTTCAGATGAATACTTCCACTGAAGTAGTCATTATATAAACTGGTATGGAACATCAGGTCTTCCTTCACGAGCTTGGGATGTTGTCATCAGTCTACTACAGATGTTTCCAGGTGAGAGATCCTGTGTCTCCGGATGTCACTGATGCTTCCCCGCATCTGTACCAGGGCATTGTACTGGAGGCGCATGTCAGCCAGAGCATTGGACATCTGTGCTATCAGGGTGTCCTACAACACAAAACAATGCATAGCGTCAGAGGTATCTTGCAAGAAGAATGGGACACCTGTGCTATCAAGGTGTCCTACAACACAACACAAAACAATGCATAGAGTCAGAGGCATGTTGCAAGAAGAATGGGACACCTGTGCTATCAAGGTGTCCTACAACTCAAAACAATGCATAGAGTCAGAGGCATTTTGCAAGGAGAATGGGACACCTGTGCTATCAGGGTTTCCAATCAGATAACACAAAGTATGCATCCATAAGCATGAAGAAATGAATGTTAGGTGTCTATCAGGGTGTCTACATGACAATACAAAGTTGAGTAAGAAGCAAACTAGATTAAGAAGTCTGTGATCTCAGGGTGTCCAACTATACAAAATAACACTGACTCAAAAGCATAATGGAAAGAGCGTATGTACTATCTGGCTTCCCAGACAAAACAAAGTATGCAGTAAGAAATATGGAGGAAAGAACATTGGAGGCTGTACTTTCAGGGGGTTTAATCAGGCAACACAAAGTAAAGCAGGGAAATATGATGGAAAAAGCATAGGACATCTGGGGGGTGGACAGGGGTGTTACAAGATAGAGTGAGAGTAGAGAAGCAGTCTTTTGATGTGCTACAAGGATGAAGCAGAATCATACTGAACATCTGTGTTATCAGGCTGTCATGCAAGTTGATACCAAGAATCATACTGAACATCTATGTTATCAGGCTGTCATGCAAGTTGATACCAAGAATCATACTGAACATCTTTGTTATCAGGCTGTCAAGCAAGTTGATACCAAGAATCATACTGAACATCTTTGTTATCAGGCTGAACATCTTTGTTATCAGGCTGTCATGCAAGTTGATACCAAGAATCATACTGAACATCTTTGTTATCAGGCTGTCAAGCAAGTTGATACCAAGAATCATACTGAACATCTGTGTTATCAGACTGTCATGCAAGTTGATACCAAGAATCATACTGAACATCTTTGTTATCAGGCTGTCATGCAAGTTGATACCAAGAATCATACTGAACATCTTTGTGTTATCAGGCTGTCAAGCAAGTTGATACCAAGAATCATACTGAACATCTTTGTTATCAGGCTGTCAAGCAAGTTGATACCAAGAATCATACTGAACATCTGTGTTATCAGGCTGTCATGCAAGTTGATACCAAGAATCATACTGAACATCTTTGTTATCAGGCTGTCAAGCAAGTTGATACCAAGAATCATACTGAACATCTGTGTTATCAGGCTGTCATGCAAGTTGATACCAAGAATCATACTGAACATCTGTGTTATCAGGCTGTCAAGCAAGTTGATACCAAGAATCATACTGAACATCTTTGTTATCAGGCTGTCAAGCAAGTTGATACCAAGAATCATACTGAACATCTGTGTTATCAGGCTGTCATGCAAGTTGATACCAAGAAGAATCATACTGAACATCTGTGTTATCAGGCTGTCATGCAAGTTGATACCAAGAATCATACTGAACATCTTTGTTATCAGGCTGTCAAGCAAGTTGATACCAAGAATCATACTGAACATCTGTGTTATCAGGCTGTCAAGCAAGTTGATACCAAGAATCATACTGAACATCTTTGTTATCAGGCTGTCAAGCAAGTTGATACCAAGAATCATACTGAACATCTGTGTTATCAGGCTGTCATGCAAGTTGATACCAAGAATCATACTGAACATCTTTGTTATCAGGCTGTCAAGCAAGTTGATACCAAGAATCATACTGAACATCTGTGTTATCAGACTGTCATGCAAGTTGATACCAAGAATCATACTGAACATCTTTGTTATCAGGCTGTCATGCAAGTTGATACCAAGAATCATACTGAACATCTTTGTTATCAGGCTGTCATGCAAGTTGATACCAAGAATCATACTGAACATCTTTGTTATCAGGCTGTCAAGCAAGTTGATACCAAGAATCATACTGAACATCTGTGTTATCAGGCTGTCATGCAAGTTGATACCAAGAATCATACTGAACATCTTTGTTATCAGGCTGTCAAGCAAGTTGATACCAAGAATCATACTGAACATCTGTGTTATCAGGCTGTCATGCAAGTTGATACCAAGGTTGTTAGAGAGGGCATTGGACAGCTGTGCTAAAAGAATGTCCCACAAGGATACAAACTAAGCAGCAGTGCACATAAATGATGTTAATGTGTCCTGCAAGAATCAAGACTGGACTGGATCCAGTGATTGACTTCATGAGCATCAATATCCTCAATTGGAATATGAAGTGTCAACCAGGTCAGACAGCCTCACCTCCAATCCCCTTAGTTACCTCATATGACAAGCTGAAGATGTGTTGCTGAAGATAAATTCTAATCCTGATCTTGAACAGGTTCACCAGAGCACTAGAAATCTGAGCAACAACGACAGGTTCAACTTGAAACCTATCCCAGGGCACAATTACAATGAAATACTATGAAATCTAAACAAGAGGGTGTCCTGATGATTAAGAAATAGGAAATATTCGTTTCAGCAGCATCCATATTGTTAGGTAACTTACCATTTTTCCTTCGGAGAAGTTAGTCCTCTTCGTCCAGTTGATGTTGTCTAGGTTGTAGTTGAGATCTCCAAGGATGGGAGCCACCAGTGGGAACAGCTCACTGGCATATCTGGAACATATCAAATGCACCTAAAAAGGACCAGCTTTGGCATTCCAATCTCTGACCACCAATATCCATTCTGTTATCAAAACTCAAACACACTCCATAATGCTTAACTATCTGTAGACACATTCGCCACATTTGTCTGCTAATCCTACAAAAAGGGAAAACATGGATTACTTGTTTGTCAGCTTGCCACTATCATTTTTTTAATTTTTTTTAAAAAGCAGTTTTACAGCATTTTCATAAAATTCAACATACGACATTCCGGTGCTGACATAAAACAAAGGAGATTCACAAAAACATACAATGGCAAGTTGAACATAATTTGTAGAATAAGCTAATATTACACTCAATTATCGTTGAACACTTAGTAAGGCTTGTCACTATCATGATGACAACATTATAGCAGGTGACACCAGATACGGGCTGCACACATATCAACCATGTGGGAAATCAAACCCCGGTCTTCAGCATGACGAGTAAACGCTTCAACAACCAGGCTACATCATCACCCTTCACGAGCATAAAAAATTGCTGACTACAGAGATTGAATTGATGGTGTCCACTCCTGTGAGTGAGTCAGTGAGTTTAGTTTTACGCCGCTTTTAGCAATATTCCAGCAATATCACAGCAGGGGACACAAGAAATAGGCTTCACACATTGTACCCATGTGGGGAATCCAACCCGGGTCGTTTGCATGATGAGCGAACGCTTTAACCACTAATATCCACTTCAAAGATGCTCAGGGTGCTGATAACAAATTATGCACAAAGCACAGACAGTTTAACCCAAGCTGTAAGGCATAAGAAAGGTAAACAGTCACATGACCATCTTGTCCCACTGGGTACCCATTCACTGCTGGGTGAACAGAGGGCCAAAGTTGTCAGAAACCAAAGTTTGAAACAACTTCTGCTTATAGAAGAGATTCATTATGATAATGGCATGAGTTTTGTTTTGTTTTATTTCATTTTGATCGCAGATTTCACAAATACATCATAACAGTAAAGATGAACGAAAACAAAATTTGATGATAGTTTTAATGTTTCCCGTCTTCCTATGACAGCTGATCTAATTTAATAAAACCTAACTGATCAGGGCACTTTTCACACATTTTTTTAAAATGCCTAGATTTTCGAAGCTCTTTCGATAGTCGTAAGTGCCATACAATAACATTAACTTACGACTACCTTAGCTTCAAAAATCTGGGCCCAGGAATTGGGGATATCTGATTCTCATGAGTTACCTACCTTACCCAAATTCTACGAAAGCAAAAAACATTCCATTATATGTCATATATTTGACAGCAACTTCATAATTGAAAAATGTCTTAAATGATTCCATGACATACAGATATAAACAGGCTATGAATCTGTAAAGAGGTATATCATCAGAAATCTGAGGCCTTACTTGTGGTATGCGGCATCCATTTTGATGTAGTCGCCCCACAAATGGCTGCTGAAGTCGACCTGTCAGTTGATCCTTCTTCTCCATGATGGATTCTATGTGAGCATTCAGCTTCTGGATCTTTTCCACTTTACCCTCTGTAATCAGTGAACACATATCAATTCATTCCTGACTAATTGTTAATCATGCTGTCATCTACTGTTCACAAAGTCAGTTCGTTATGAAATTTCTTCACCAATAGACTGACTGGTCATAGTTTTGCTTCATTTTCTCAGAAGAACAGACTGTGGGTAAAATACAGTATGACCTATTGTGCATCAGACTTTATATGTTTGTTGTTTAATGCCCCACACAGCAATATTCTAGCTGTATGAGAGTAGACTGGAAATAATCATATTAGCACCAATCAATAGAGGTGAGGTGAGGTGAAATTGGGTTTAACGTCGTGCTTGAGAATATTTCGCTCATATGACGACGTGCATGTGTGTGCTTGTGTACTAGCCCAGACTGAAGCTGGTTTTATAGTGCTAGCTTACTGAGATACCAAGCCGCAGTGAAGCATGAATATCCCACTCAGACACATTATACTGACTCCGAGCCGACCAGTCCTTGTTGTACCCATTAATGCCGAACGCCAGGCAGGGACCAACAAGTACCATATTTTAACGTCTTTTGGTATGACGCGGTCGGGGATCGAACCCGCGACCTTCCGCTCTCCAGGTGGATGCTCTAACCAGTACACCACGGAGGCGGTCCCAATCAATAGAGTGATTGACAACACGAGCATAGAATGACATGCATCAACTAAGTCAGCTGGCCTGAACAACAATCCTGTTAGTCGCCACTTTTGCTGGTGGCCAATTTTAACCCAGATCTTATGATCCTGGTATGATTCATGGATTAATTTAGTGTTTTCCTGTTTGTTTAATGTCCAGTGATTGACATCATGAGCATCAAGTTACACCATTGGGAATGGGATATAATGACGTGCATCAAGCCTGACCACCCGAGCCCATTAGCCGCCCTTTCCGACAGGCATGTTCTGCTGAACATGGGTGGATGAAGGACTGACTGACTGACTTACTGAGTATGGTTTTACGCCATTTTTAGCAATATTCCAGCAATATCACGGCGGGGGACACCAGAAATGGGCTTCACACATTGTACCCATGTGCGGAATCGAACTCGTGCCTTCAGCGTGATGAGCGAACGCTTTAACCACTAGGCTACCCCAGCGCCCCGTCGGATGAAGGACAATCCTCATCTGCATCTTCACAATCCTAAGACTGAGTATGTTACTAAGCAAAATTCCAGAGACAGCACCAAAAACTAGCTACATAACATTGTGCCCATGGCAAGAATCTTTTGTCCTTAGCCTAGGTATGAAGATGGCATGTTAACACTATACTGTCACTTCAATGCAACTCATAGCTCAATAAGACATCATCAATGAAATGTCACAGTAATACTGTCTCTGCACATAAGAAACTGATGGAAGAACACTGTCCCATGCATAAGCACTAGCAACAAATCATCTTGTATGGGTGACAATGTTCGGCAACCTGACTCCTGAGAGTTACTAGGGCCAAAAACCAAGGCACATGTAACATATGGCATCATGCGATACCAGTGACTTTGTTGGTAATGTGTTCAAACAGCAGTGAATGGGTACCCAGTAGGATGAGTGAGTTAAGTTTTATGCCAGATTTAGCAATATTCCGGCAATATGGTGGGGGGCACCAGAAATGGGCTTCACACATTGCACCTATGTGAGGAATGGAACCTGGGTCTTTCACATGACGAGCGAAAGCTTGAACCACTAGGCTACCCAACCGCCCCGGTAGGATGAGACAGTAATGCGACTTAAGTTTTTAGCACCTCAGAGGCAGTTTGGATTGTGTTCTCCCGAGGGAGTTGAGAGTGAATATCTGATCCATTGACCAGAGTAATTAAATGTAACAACATCACTGAGAAACAAATGGTTGGATATTAGGTGCTTTAAAAAACGTTATGATTAAATACCTAATGTGTTTGCTAAAAAAATATACCAAACATGCAGATTTTTTCCAACAGACATTTTTATAGATATCTGGCTAAAGTATTCAAAAAGTTAAATTTCAGTAATTATACTTCAAAGAACATGATGAAAATCTCTAATCACAGTGACTTTTTTACTTATTTGCCATTGTAGGAAATTGTCAATTTGGCACTGTGTTTCTTAACAGCACCTAACACAATAGAATACACAGCGACCCAGTACTTGATTCATTTTGACACTTGATTAAACCAATCCGATCATAAAAATATCTATGTTAGAAAAAGATAATTGCTCTTAATGCATACAGATGAACAGCTTTCACATCTTGTTTGAAGTGAGAACAAATGAGAGGAGACATCGAAAGTGTCACTGACAAGACCACTCATGATGAAAACAATTATAGAACTTTGTGATCAGATAATTTAAAATCAATTGTAGGCATACAAAGTTTCACAATATCTCAATCAAATGTAAATTGCCAGTACTATAAAACAAGCATTGTCACTAAGGTGCCAAATTCCCCGCCGCAAATTATCAAATCAAACTAATAAAGTAATGAAAGTTTAAGATGAAGTTAAATGTCATCAAAAACATTATCTTGCTCTTTAGTTGTTCAAACACACACATATTTTCAAAACAGACTTTGAAAATTAAGTGAAGGTCACCAAAATTGACTGGGCCCTGCGCCTTCCCTAGATAAAGCTTGGTATGGAATATGAAGAAAATCCAGTAAACAGTTCTTGAGATAGCCTAACATGCAGGTAAAACGTGAAAGTCCCCTTGTGACCTTGAAATGAAGGTCAAGGTCACCAAACCTGACTTGGACCTTTCTTATAGTGTGATGAACCTAACAGTCTAAGTAAACTTAGGCTCAGTATTATTCGTTACACTGCTATACTGAGTCTAACAAAACCTTGTGGAAGGTCGCGTCAGCTGACCTTTTCAATGGACCAATCAGAACACAGCTTACCAAATCGCGAAAGTTGACATTCACACATACCTTTTGAACTTTTATCTCGAAAAAGTTTTGTACCTGAACGATTCCGAATGATATTTTCCGTACGATCGCTTCCGAGTGATGCACATGGAGCACGCCACAACAGTGAGTCAACAGTCGCTGAGAATAGCGTTTTGTCAGTATTCAAGGATGTCAGCTTGCGGAAATATTAGCTAATGATAGCCATATCAACAGAAACCCAAAAGCGTAAATTCTGCAGGTCATATATCTGTGTTTTATGCGGGTTTTCATTTGTCATGAGATCAGTGTTGGCGACCAGGGAAGAGAAAATCCATTTTGTAAGTCCCGCCAAACCCTACATAGTAGCCGTTGTCTGATTGGTTAAATCCGTTCGTCCGTCTCGCATTTGACTGGACGGTCATAGGTCACTCAAAGGTTACCTGACACGACTTTCCACAAGGTTTTGTTAGACTCAGTATAGCAGTGTAACAAATAATACTGAGCCTAAGTTTACTTAGACTGACGAACCTAGGTACCAAATATGAAAAGAATCTAGTGAACAGTTCTTAAGATATTCCAATTTTTACGGACGTATGGACGGACGGAGCCTAATACTATATCCCCCGCTTCGCGCTAAACGCACGGCCGGGTATAAAAATCTTTTAGGCCCCAATAGTTTTTGTCCACAGCTGAAAAATGTCACGTCTTATCATCTCATTAGTAGACAAATAATGATGAAGAAAGAGAAAATCATCAGGGAAGGGTCATTGGCATACAGCATTCTGTAAAATAGTTCATCATGGTGATTCTTGAATGTACTTTTATTTTCTGTAATTACATATCTTGAATCATTAGCCATGTCCAACTTCTGTTAATTGCAAAAGCTGTATTATGCAACAAAACCAAAACCAATTAGCAAAAACATTTTATTTTAATTTTTAGATATTCATTCTAGATCTAATGATACAGCTCTGTAGTTGCTGTAAATAGACTTTCAAATATGTCTTTGATAATGGCCATATTGTGAGTGAGTGAGTGAGTGAGTGAGAGAGAGAGTGTGAGTGTGTGAGTGAGTGAGTGACTGAGTGACTGCTGAGCTGTCAACCCCTAAAGATGGTTTGGAGTGAGACTGAAAAAAATAAGCCGGGTTCCAGCCGGGGTCGTGTCCAGGGCGATGCCCTGTCAGGGTGTCTCTGGGCGAGCCCCCGAAAATGAAGTTTAGTGATTTTCAGGAGCATTTGGAGCCTTCTGGTGGCATTATTTTGACACTAAAAGATGCATGCTAATAAATAATAATAAGCCGAATCATTCACATAAACATCGTTTTAGTACTTCGTTCATTCAGGCGTTCTTTCAATGTTCAACTTTACGCAAAAACGAACGAAAATGCGTATTAATTTTGAAATTATTTTTGGCTACCAGATATGCGTGAGATTATTATTTGGAGGCGTGAGAGCGTGACATTTGTCAATAAAGCGTGAGACTCACGCCAAATGCGTGAGAGTTGACAGGTATGTGACTGACCGACTTTTACGTCACTTTTAGCAATATTCCAGCAATATCACAGCGGGCAGAGATGCCAACCCTGAATCAAATGAAAGTCGAGTCATGCCTTGCTAAAAGCAATTCCCCAGCCCTGAAGGTGTGAGTTGGGGGTGAGCGTGAGAGCGTTTGATGGTAGGGGTCTGGGGGACCTCCCCTATGGAAATCTTTAGATTTAGCCTGGAAATATGCAATCTCTGGGCACACTTAACCAGATAATTCTTAACTCGAATGAACAAATTACAAAAATTCTTTCAAACATTCTAAATTTATAAACATATTTGTATTTTCTAAAAAATCGGAGTTTTTATAGACAAATCGGAGTGTGGATTTTGTATTTGAAAATCGGAGTAACTCCTCCAAAATCGGAGTGGTTGGCATCTCTGCAGCGGGGGACATGAGAAATAGACTTCACTCATTGTACCCATGTGGGGAATAGAAACCACCACCTGATGAATGAACACTTCCACAACACAACTCGAACATTTTCAACAAATTCAGCTGTCATCATTAGATCATTGTGAGAACAATTACATGCAGCTTCAACTTCACTGATCCAGTAGAAAATGATGAATAAAGACAACAGCACACTACAGACATGTTTTCCATGAAAAACAGTCCAAAACATTCATCAAGATAAGCAAAACAAGAAGGCTTTCATGACAAGTGAGCTGTGAGTTTCATGCTTGAGCAGCATATTGACAGGTCTACCAGCAAGGTAACACATGTTGGGATCAGTAAACCAATTGCTAATTTACAGCATAAAGACAGCAGTGTCATGTTGTAATGGGTGATATAAGCCTGTGAACACAATCGATCAGTATCACCAAACCAGGATATGGGGAACAGCTTTCATGTAACCAAAGCATCAAAACTGTTAGCCTATACCCTGTTGACGAAAGGTGATAAGAGATCATGTTCATGTATCCTGTGGACTCGGTGAGTGAGTGAATATGCCTTTACGTCACTTTTAGCAATATCACGGTCGGGACACCAGAGTGAGTTTGGTTTTATGCCAATTTTAGCAATATTCCAGCAATATCACAGCGTGGAACACCAGAAATGGGCTTAAAACATTGTACCCTTGTGAGGAATCGAACTATTTCTTTTCTGTATGGCTAAATACTCGATTATTTACATATAGCTGGAGTCAGTGAGTGAGTGAGTGAGTATGGCTTTACGCCACTTTTAGCAATATTACAGCAATATCACGGCAGTGGACACCAGAAATGGGCTTCACACATTGTACCCATCCAGCTATATGATTGTACCCATCCAGCTATATGAGGGGCGATAGGGTAGTCTAGTGGTTAAAGCATTCGTTCGTCCCACCGAAGACCTGTGTTCTATCCCCACATGGGTACAATGTGTGAAGCCCATTTCTGGTGTCCCCCGCCATGATATTGCTGGAATATTGCTGGAATATTGCTAAAAGCGGCGTAAAACCATACTCGCTCACTCACTGACTGACTCCACCTATATGTAAATAATCGAGTCTGGATTAGACAATACAGTGATCAAGAACATGAGCATCTATGAAAATGGGATATGGTGTAATGTGTCAACCAAGTCAGCGAGCATGACCACCCTATCCCGTTAGCCACCTCTTTCAACAACTATTGGCTGCTGAAGACCAATTCTAACCCAGATCTTCATGGGTCAAAACGTATATGACCATGAGGTACAGTATGCAATATACATGACACACATTATTTATGCATGATTTTATGCATGTTTTGGACTCTTTCCAATCAATATTACATAGACATAATCACAATGTATTCCAGGTAACAGCTGGCTGGACTACAACATCGCATACTGATGCTTGTAGCAGTTGTAGATAAAAAATAAACAGGCTATTGGTGCCTCCCTGTTTAAGGGAGATATACCAACAAGATTTATCTCCCTTTCCTAAAAACCCAGTTAGATACTGATTTTAAGCGCCTTCATAACCAATATGATACAATATCACTAAAAATATTTCAAACCATAACTAATTTGTACTGGCAAATAATTTGTATTGCAATATATTGTGATGCATGTATCCATTTTGTGATATATTGAGAGCTAAAGTGTTTGACAGAGAGTGACACATATTGTACATGCATAGCCTTCTTTCTTCATAAAAAAATAAATGCTATGGTTGATAGTTTTCTCAATTAATTACGATTGGAACATCAGTTGTGAATGAATATTTTTTTACTCATCATATCGGTTCTCAAAAAACATCTTGCAATGGTCTGAAAAGCGTAGTATGTGGTATACCAGTAATAATTTGCAGTTTTAATAAATATTATTTGATATAAGTTAGAGAATTCATGATTCTTTCATGTGAGTATAATTATTTTGTCTTGATTGTTTGCACTCAGCTATTCCAGCTATATTTCAGTGGTCTGTAAATAACTGAGGCTGTCCCCAACAATTGAGTGATTGACACAACGAGAATATATCAAAACAATTTCGAGCATCAAGTAAGGCCAAATAAACAAAATGTTGTGGTTCTGATTACACCTCTTTGAAATTTAGGGTAGGTAGGTAGGATTTTTGATATTTTTTACATTTTTATAGAAGTAAAGTACAAACTAATATCAATGTGTAATTGTTTATTCAATCAAGCTTGCGGCCATCATGCCGACTTTCTCTATTAGAGTGACCGATTTCTGTTGGTGACAGGATAAAACAATGGTATTTGAAAGCTTATTTTATTCATACCACCTAAAAAAGATAGGGTCGGCACCAGAATTCAAGGAGCGGTCTGGTAATTGGAACTACAACATTTTTTTTTCAAGGCCTAAATCAGCAAGCCTGACCTCCCGTTAGTCACCACTAAGGAAAGCCATGGGTTACAGTATCTAAACTGGAAGGACAGTAGGATAGTGGTTAAAGCATTCACTTGTCACGCAGATGACCTGGGTTTGATTCCCCACATGTGTACAATGTGCAAAGCCCATTTCTGCTGTCCCCTACTATGATATTCCTGGAAAATTGCCAAAAGTGGGGTAAAAACGTAACCCACTCTCTCACTCACCTAAACTGGATATTCACAGGTCCATGACGACAGTAATTTGAGTGAACAGTTATATCTAGCATGCTCTACAGTAGCATCAACCCATGTCTGTGTACTCACTCAAAATGTCTATGTGTGTGATGTCAGCTGTCTCCTTGTCCTGGACTCGGCACTGCATCTCCAGATTCACCTGAAACCCAGTTAATTATGTTCATTTGAAACTGACTATAACATTGTTTAAAGCCTACATAAAATATTGATGATGAATGTAATTCACCAAACTCAAATAAGGCCAGACCAATTTTATTTCTTGTTTTACGGATGTTTGTCCTCAGAAAACCTAAAGGCAGGAGGGAAAAACAATAAAAATAAAAATCACCAGTCAAAGTAATACTCCTTTTGAATACTAAAAGTGTTTTACTTTTGAAGTGTTTATGGGGCAAAAAACAATCAAATAATTTTTTTTGTAAGTTTACATTTTTGGTCAATTTTTGGTCGAACAAATGTGACATTGTGCCTTTAACTCCATGGAAGTAAGTCTGGGGATACAATATCATGCTGCCATTTTTCAAACTTAGGCTTGCTTATTATCTGTTTTATCACACAAACTTATATTTATGTAATCAAGTTTAAACTTCAGTAGTTTTTTAGAAAACCTGTAAAATTGATACTAATATGTTACGTTTGTCTTTGGCCAAAAACGGGCAATTACAGTTCAAGTTTTCAGAGATAAACAGGGACTATATAGGTCTGCATCAAGTCTGCAACAAATATCAGCACCCTCTTGATGTTATTATAGTTATAACTTACATTTTCATTATTATTACATTATCAAGGTGACTTGTATTTCACTGATGACACAACCAATTAAGAGAAAGGGCCTTTAATCCTTAGTTTTATTATTTTAGTTCATTAGTTCATCGTTTCTTGATACAATGTTACTATGATTAAGATTCCTCTAAACTTAGGTAAATAAACATTTTAGGAAAAAATTTGTCGACAAATTGTTTTTTCAAAGCTGCCTTTGTGGAATGCCAAGAGCACTCAGTTTGGAATCCTGGTTTATCTTTGGTTTACACTCCTACCTTCTGAAGCTCTCTCTTCTTCTTGGTTATCTCCCTTTGTAATGCAATGAGCTTGAGAGAGGGCAACTCTTCTTGATCTTCTTCACTTGGGCCTTTTCCATCTCCCCTCTTCATAACAAAAGCAATGGCATTACTGAAATTATTTCCACTGATAGTATAAGCGACAAATGCTGCATACTCATTTCAAAATAACCCAAGCAAAATGCTTAATCTGTTTGCAGTGAAAACGTGCCGATGAATGTCACTTTAAACCAAAAAGTAAAACAAATAAAGTGAAATTAAGACTGCGAATCCTCATGATTTTACCTTGCCAATTGAACATTTAAATCTCAGATTTTTATTTGACTTAGGATAAAAGTTGTTTAACAAATGATCCTAGTTTCGCATGGCTATTATTGGTTTGTATTACAAGGGGGTATGCACATCAAATGAAACACCGAAAACGACAAGGGTTGTTATAAGTTAACTCTCTTCACGTACCGCACGTGCATTTGTTTCACTGTTCCAACTACTGCGCTTACCCCATTGTAATACAAACCAGTAATAGCGATTTGAATCTAAGATCGTTCGTTAAACAACTTTGATCCTAATTTGAATAAAATTTTAAGATTTAAATGTTCAATTGGCAAGGTAAAATTATGAGGATTCGCAATCTTAATTTCACTTTATTTGATTTACTTTTTTGTTTAAAGTGAAATTCATCGGTACGTTTTCACTGCAAACAGACTATATCTCACAATGTCTTGGGTCAATCACAAAACAAACAGATCTTTCACACTGACACAACACCTTTTTCTGACAGCACCGTCACCTCTAATACCTTCTTTTCACTAGTCTTGCTGGTGCCAATTTAATTTTACTATGATGTTTTCAAAAGCTTGTACGACAAACATGTCATAATTTGCGCCCAAGAGAGAAGTGATGCTGCATTCTTGGTTGTCATTAATTCCTCGAAAAAGTTTGCTAAGAGTGTATTTTGTTCCAACTTTGGGGCAGATCTGCATCAGGGACATATCTAGGTCTAATTGTGAGTCCTTGGTCATACATTTTTGGGGTCCAAAGCATGAAAATAGGAACCAATATCAAATGCAATACTATGGGTGAAACGGTATGCTCTTACCACGGTACGGTACATATTGCCGTACAAGGCCTTCGGTTCGGTCTGTTTTGGTTCGGTATATGAGATATGATAAAAAAAACAATACACAACTCAGATCTTGTCGAATGTGACTCTGTTGTTTGACATTTCACAGATAAATAAATTAAACAAATTAACACAACAAAGTTGTCGTAAGACAGTCACAGTCTGTGTGACTGATCATTCAGTTAAACTATTAGAGACTTTCCACAGTCCTTGGGAAGTACTGCCACACAATCTTGGCATATTCCAGAATTTTGTATTATTCAGTTTTCAGATCCATTCAAAGTAAGTTCACTCAGAAATGTATTTCTCCTTTTTGAAACAAATATGTTTTAGCTTGAGAATGCTGCTTTCTCTTTTTATTGGTCTTTAAATGTACATTGTTCTGATATATGGGTTAGGCGTCTGACTTTGTGTGCTGGCGATAAGGTGTCTGACTCTGATGGTGTGGGTTTGAATCCCAGATGGGACTGAACCCAACAAAAGTACGAAAATCTGTACATTACTAAGAAAGTGTAATCCCAAATATAACATATGTTACAGGATTAAAAAGGTTAGTAAAATGATGGTACGAGAACTGAAAATACAAATTTTTTGGATTGCATTAAGGTATACCATTTCACCCCTATGCAATACAAAGTATGGTTTGTTATATTTATCATGGCTGTCAGTGAACATGTGTGGGACTTAGGACGTATTACTTTCAGCAATAAAAGCCCCTGTGAATCCGAAAACATTTGCCGGAGAAGTCCACTAGTATCTATGCACAACTCCTCATATGTTTTGGGCTATTGGTTTTCAATATTACTACAGCTTATACAAGGTCTCTTAACGATAGCCATGAATTCCAGTAAAGATCCGGATTAGAATTAGATTTCAACAGCCCATACTTGTTGTAAGCAAGAGTCGACTAACATCATTTCAGCCTGTTTGATTGGTTATCGGATCCCAAATGCTCATAATGTCAATCACTGGGTTCACTGGTCCAGGATCGATATGTAAAGACCGCCGTCATATTTAATATTTCTGAGCGCGGCATTAAGAACAAACGAACGAAATGAAGACACTGAAGCATGTTGCTACTTGACTCGAGCAGTGGAACTGACAGCGTAGAGAGATAAATGTCTTCGAACCTTTCTTGTATGTCCTGTCTTTTCAGCAAGGTGTAGTACATTTCGCAGAGCTAATGTTGTTTTGTCGGACGAGGACCACGGGTTCTGCGTTACATCCAGTGCAGAAACATTCCTGGACATGATGGATATTATCACGACATCAAATTTCGTGTTGAATTTACCGCTAGATGACAGTACATATGTTTCCTCTTCCGCTGTAAACAGGAAACGACTTGGCGGAATGATATGCTAGGCAGAAAATATTTCGGAATGAATATGAATGAGAATTTTATGACTCCTTTATAAAAAATCAATGTTATGTGTACACGTACCACAGTGCAGTGTTTTCAACAAATGTTTGTAGAATATTTGGATTCATTAGTATATAGCACTATATTTCTGGCGTAAACTTTTCCTTTTTCCATGTAACAGGTGTTGTGAGGCTCATTGCGGTAATGCCACGATAACCAGTGATATCTTGCAAGTGATGCTACGAGATTAATAAACCCGATGTCAGCGCCGATTTTGTAGTTTCATCCACAGGTTGGCAAATAAACAGTTTGATTTTAGCCGTGAAGGAAACAGCTGTTAGCGTTTAGCGCGTACTGTTAAAAATTCACAAACGTATCATTGAAAGTAACGAGAATTTTTTTCCGGCCTGCTTCCATGTAATTTAATATTGTAAATATATTACATATTTATGATTTAGCTTCCAATTTTGTGGTGATACATATTATCAGTAAATGTTATATCAACCACTGTAAATTAAGTGCATAGTTGTACCTTCATACTGTTATAACACAATAATTATTCAGTCTATTTGAGTCTATTAATTACCACTACTTAAAGGGGAAGTGTACACGAATAAATCACATTTATTCTTATGTGATTCAAAGTGAACTGTTTTAATTAGTTAATACCAACGTTTGAAAATATACATTCATTTTTCTTACAATGTAAGTATAACTCTCAAAATAAGTGCTGAAATGTTATGCCAATCTGAGGTATTTGTTTGCCGAGCTAAACAGGCCTGAGTTACCGCCCTTTGATTATGACGTTATTGGTGCCACTTGATTTTAAACTGGTCTCCTGTCTAGTCCCAAATCAAAGATAATAATACTGATATTAATCACGTGAAAAAGGTTTACGTGAAAATACGAAAAAAGCATAAGAACAGAAAATGTAAGCAGCAGGGCCGGATTGATCGTGTGTATTTTCATTCATAACCACGCCTCAGTGAAAATACCAAATATGTATAACAATGTTGGCGTCCGTGATGACATCACTATCGAGAATTAAGCGACTTTTTCAAAATGGCGTGTTCATTGACGAATGCGCCAGAGTTTTCAAGGAAATTTGTTTTCATTGTTTTCATTGTGACCAAGGGAAATAGTCAGAAATTAAGAGAAGTACCGTCATCGTTAGCAGTGAGTTTAGTCAGTTATGTCGTCATGCTTTCAAAAACTATAATATGTTGTGATGAATCTAGAAAATCATTGGAATACACCTGTTTATTTAACTATTGCCTTGCTGAAAACTTTCCCATGCATGTTCTAAAACTCATGAGCAATTGTATGCAACAAGTAGGCTTAAAGGATACACAGTGTAAAATCTGAGATTGGCTTTGTATACATTTCAAACAAGTATTCTTTCTGGCCGCTGACATCTCATATCCTCGATATATTTCGTTAGATTTCACTGAAACACTTCATTATTGGTGACAGAGTCCATTTGTCAGCTTATTTTTGAACTGTATGAGGAATTCAGGAGTTTATGTAAGGAAGATGGTGTTGAATTATACTATTAATTTTATGGATGAGAAACATAACCGACATACATGTGACGTGATTTTATAAACACTATGTAATACAGCTTAAAATTCACTTTGGCGTTTCGCGATTTTCCAAAACATTCTCATCGATTCTCGGTTCATCGATAATTTTAAGAAACGAGCATTGGTGATTGATCATACAACAACAAAACTACCGCTGATCACAATGATCCGTCTTTTTTCTTTTAATTCAATTCTCCCAGTAAAATTTGACATTTGAATGAAGACATACCATAAATTACATAAAAGCGCAGTGAATGGTGATTTAGAATGTGTCAAAACTGGCGAGATTTCCACGATGCATGTAATTTTCAGTAAATTTTATCTACAATGAGCCGGATGATATCATAGAAAACAAAATTTCAAACAGTGTTCAAAACTGCAAATTGCATTTATCTGCGTGATGTATTTGGATATGTACTATCGATATCAAAATGAAGGTGGAAGAGGAGGGACATATCGTGCGATTTATGTAAGAACTTTAGTAATAAGCGTTAGAATGCGGCACATTCACCAATGGCAAGCAAGATGTAGTGCATATCGTTTTAGGTTTCATGAAAAAAGATTCTGTTGGAAAGGCCACCGACTCGGTTAAATATGTTATACAATTTGGTTACATGGTAACACTTTTAGTACAATGTATCACGTTTTTCAAACTGCAAGGTCATTACAGTGTAGAACTGACCACATAGTCAGCTGACGGACCAAGCAACAGGTGGATTAAAACAGTAGCCTGCTGTCGAGACACAAGAACCACACCTATACCTGCACCCGCATTGAAATCGGCCTAATAAAGGTCTGGCGGCGTCATTAAGTTTATCATTTGGGCACCAATGACGTCATTTCCAAGGGGCATAAGCCATGGTGTGTTTATTGTGGACATAGAACTCTTGGTAAATGTTGAAAATATGAATTGATATAACGCAAATAATAAATTAGTTACTTCTGATATATGTACGGGTTTGGATATAAAACAACTTGATAAACACTTTTTATGATGAAAAAGTGCAAGACAAAAAGGTTAATTTTCGTGTACACTTGCCCTTTAACGGTTCTAACAGTGTAATGTAGAATTGATCTTCAGCAACCCGTTCATGTCATAAAAGGCAACTAACGGAATTGGGTGGTCAGGCTCGCTGACTTGGTTGACACATGTCATCGTATCCCAATTGTGTATATCAATGTTCATGCTGTTGATCACTGGATTGTCTAGTACAGACTGGATTATTCACAGACCACTGCCTTATTACTGGAATATTGCTGAGTACCGTGGTAAACAACAAACAACTAAACAGTTCTTGTCATTTTGTATCCTCGTAGTATAGTCTGTCACATGTTGTTTCGTCACTGATATATACAGTGTGTGTGTTTATATTTATTCTGATCAGTTTTGCAGACATAGTTACATAAACACATTAAATTAATTTTTAAAGATTGGATCCAAGTTTATCTAGCGCAAGCCAAATATTTATGTATAGCCTGTTGTGACAAGTCAAAATTATTAAAAGGAGTATTACAGAGGTAGATTTACTGCAGCTTCAGTTTAAAAATACTAGCAGTAACAACTTGGCCCCAGTTGTGAAGGATATTGTTCTGTTTTTGCTTATGTTATTTAAACCAACGTATACATATATTCATCCAAAACTGTAACTAACCAAGGTCAACATTTATAATCAGGTCCTAATAGAAATTCCTGATCTTGAAAAGTTCCTGCTTTGAGCCCTTTACAAAATAATGGACTCTGATCCATTTATAACATTGTGTTATGAAGGGATACTGGTACTACAGTCCGTTTGAGTCAGAAACGGACCGATGAATTGCAAATTTTATCATTGTACAAAATTGCCACATAAATATAAATAGTACACATGTTTATCATTGACTAATACCCAACAGCTTTCTTATATTTGAACATTTTCCGGACTCCACCCAAAAAGTTGTTTAAGAAACTATCATCATTGAAAACGCAAAAGTTGTTATCTGTCGCGGCGGGGTGAAACCGCAGAAATGGAACAGCCAGTCATGGCGGGGGTCATCTCAAAATCTATTCCCTATTATTTCTCAAGTGAACGATATCAGGGCGTTCACAGAGTACTAACCTATTCTCCCCCGAAATTTTCTTATAACGATACCCGAAAGAGTGTAAGAGTCGCCAGAACGTGTACTTTGATACTCAGAGGTTGTGTTCTTGCTTCAAATGCTTTTTTAAAATTTTCAGCTATATGTATTTGTTTTCAGAATAGAGCTTGTTGATAGACTGCCTTACAAGGTTCTTTTGAAAGTTGTCCAAATGTTTTAATTTATGTGATTTTGACACGACCCCTACCTGCTTCGCATCACCCTCACAATGTTTGTGTTCCAGAACATTTGTCAGTACCCTTGCTGATACTCCTAAAGCTTTTGCTGCCCGCTTTCGGAATTTATTAATGGCATAACATGGTTTGCCCCTTGTGGCTTCAGCACGGAAAAAATCGTTCACTTTAATCATGAACTGTTTCACGTCAGCGGGATGACGAGATACTGGCTGTTCAGTTTCTGCGGGTTCACCCCGCCGCGACAGATAAGAACTTTTGCGTTTTCAATGATGATATTTTCTTAAACACCTTTTTTGTGGAGTCCGGAAAATGTTCAAATATAAGAAAGCTGTTGGGTATTAGTCAATGATAAACATGTGTACTGTTTATATTTATGTGGCAATTTTGTACAATGATAAAATTTGCAATTCATCGGTCCATTTCTGACTCAAACAGACTGTGGATGACAATGGAATACAAAACAACATAACAATACAAAAGTACAAGGTTACGAAATGACACAATAGATGCAAAACTACCGGCGTACTCTGTCCAAACTATATACATGTCTTAGATAGTCCAGTAGACATGTCCAGTATGTATTGGTTTTATTGGACTTAGAATTCCATCTCAGACCCATAGCTAAAATCACTGACTACTTACTAGATACTATGATTCTACTCAAGCTGTCAGAATTCTATTTTCAAATTTGTATGTGTTATGTCTTCAAGTTCATCATGAATTTTGCCTCAAACTTCGGAGGACCTCACTGTCTGGTCACAAATTCACCTACTGTCATTCTGCCCACATTCTAGCATCTTTAGTCATAATTGACTTTTTCTGATTCACAACTTTACATATTTTTAATTTTATTTCAAGCAAATCGAACTGCTTTGTATCATATACACACATTAAGGACATCTATGATATCATCATGTCATCTGCCCAATATATTAAGGGAAAGTATATTTTAAATTTTCTGCCAAATGCTTACATTTATGTGTTCATGCTAAGAAAAACCTTGCTGGAAATTTGAAATTTCTCAGTATTTCTTAAATTAAGATTTTTTCAATCCAGATTGAAGTTTCCGACAAGAACCATGGGTGATAACAGCATCGCAGACAACCCATTTGCTGCTCTGTTTCCGACCTTGACACAGGCTCAACAGTACAGCAGTACCATAACTGGCAGCAAAACACCGGTCTCAGAAGGTCTGTAGCACATTTACCATTATCATTCAAAGTTATTCCATTGGGGTAAAACCATACATTGTTGCACAGTGCATTGTGATTTATCATGCAACAATGTGATGCACGATATGTTGTTTCCTGGATCAAGATACAAGAAGATATATCTGTTGCAATAAAGTACTTGCTACTCCTTCAGTGATCCTCAGCATTTTGGGGTGGTGGGGTAGCCTAGTGGTTAAAGCGTTCGCTCGTCACGCCAATGACCCAGGTTCGATTCCCCACATGGGTACAATGTGTGAGGCCCATTTCCGGTGTCCCCCGCTGAGATATTGCTGGAATATTGCTGATAGCGGCTTAAAACCATACTCACTCACTCACTCACTCCTCAGCATTTTTTTCCATCATAGAACTTTTTGGGAAGTGTTATTCTTGTGCAATGCAATCTGATGAGTTGTGTTATTGATTTCAGTGTCATGTCTCGACAACACCACGAAAGAGGCAGCACCTACCAACATGGTGCAGGATGAGAATGACATGGAAACTAAGGCTCTTGAAGCAGTGGAGTTCAATGAAGCAGTGGAAAAAATCTTTCTGATAACACTTGACAATGGTAGGTAGAGGTAAATGTTGTCAAATCATACAGATTTGTGGCAAATTTGAATTAATTTTGTCTTTCCATTAGTGCCTTCAACTATTTTGAAAGCTACCAACAGAAAAATATTTTGATTTGCCAAATCATTTAGAATTTTGTAGTGAGATAGATTACCAATATACATTTTACAACCACTGTCGTTTATAGGCACAAGCTCTGACGTACAGCGGCCAAGTCGTTGTGTCTACCTAGAGGAGATGGCATCGGCACTACAGGGGCAGACGTGGTTTGATCAGGAATCTCTGCCACAGGTACAGAGCTTAAGAAAGACACTCATTTAGTGTTAGACTGGGTCATTGGGGTAGCCTAGTGGTTAAAGCGTTTGCTCCTGACACCGAAGATCGGGGTTCGATTCCCCACGTAGGTACAATATTTGAAGCCCATTTCTGGTGTCCCCTGCCGTGATGTTGCTGGAATATTGCTGGAAGCGTTGTAAAAGTAATCTCACTCACTAGTGTTAAACTGATGGGATCAATTCAGAAATGTATGACTGAGGGACTTAGACAGAGGTAGACACGTTGAACACCCTCAAACTAAACTAACTGTCAATAGCAGCCCATACACTCATTCCCATTCATCCATAACTTAACTTTACGATAATCATAACAACTTAAAAAGTATTGCAAATACTCATCTTTCTATAAAAGAGCATTAGAGTTACCTCCCTTACATCAGTCACTCCATGTTACATTGGTATTTGATCTGTCTGTGTTTTACTGGATTCAGAGATAGGAAATGTGATTTACTATTGTTTGACTAGATGATGCTTGTGACATATTATTTCGTCGAGGTTGTGTTGAGAGAGGTTATGTGATACCTTAATGGTTGACTTTGAAATGTGTCATGTGACATGCTAGTGTTTGACTAGGCCGTGTTTGAGAGAGGTAACATGATATGCTGGTGTTTGGAAAGGCTCTCTGTGAGAGAGGTAATGTGATATGCTGCTGTTTGAAAAGGCTGCCTGTGAGAGAGGTGACGTGATATGCTGGTGTTTGACTAGGCTGTGTTTGAGAGAGGTAACATGATATGCTAGGGTTTGACTAGGCTGTTTGAGCGAGGTAACATGATATGTTGATGTTTGAGTTGGTCATCTATGAGAGAGGTGACATGATATGCAGGTATATTCTTTATGTGACATTTAGAAGCTGGTATGATGAAGAAGAACACTTTGTATGGATGGACAATTTCGTTATTGCCTCTTTATGATATGCTGGTGTTTGAGTAGGCTGTGTTTGAGAGCGGTAACATGATATGCTGGTGTTTGACTAGGCTGTGTTTGAGAGCGGTAACATGATATGCTGGTGTTTGACTAGGCTGTGTTTGAGAGCGGTAACATGATATGCTGGATGTGTTTGAGAGCGGTAACATGATATGCTGGTGTTTGACTAGGCTGTGTTTGAGAGCGGTAACATGATATGCTGGATGTGTTTGAGAGCGGTAACATGATATGCTGGCTTTTGCTAGGTTGTGTTTGAGAGAGGTAACATGATATGCTGGTGTTTGACTAGGCTGTGTTTGAGAGAGGTAACATGATATGCTGGTGTTTGACTAGACTATTTGAGAGAGGTAACATGATATGTTGGTGTTTGACTAGGCTGTGTTTGAGAGCGGTAACATGATATACTGATGTTTGACTAGGCTGTGTTTGAGAGAGGTAACATGATATGCTGATGTTTGACTAGGTTGTGTTTGAGAGAGGTAACATGATATACTAATGTTTGACTAGGCTGTGTTTGAGAGAGTGATGATGGAGAACCCGTCCGGCAGCATGATAACGTCCCGGACGTCCGGGAAGGATGCCAAGGCAGCAGCAGCAGCATGTGAGACGGAAGTGTTGAGATACATGTTCCAGTGCTACACCCGGCTACAAGCATCCACGGAGGAACTAAAGGTAACCAATCCTTAGGCTTCATTCATGCATTCGCCTTTTATAAAGAATATCAAATTAATTTGCGACTGAGGTTGCATGAACTGCATTGTAATGATAGATGTGAATATGGTGAATTTTTAAACAGGTTATGTAGACTGAACTGTGTTCATTATCATGATGGTTGACAGAGATATATTCTTACCAAAATATAATGGTTCCTCAACACTAACCAAAAACAACTTCATAGCAATGATCACCTTGTACTTAGTCACTGTGCTAAATAGTTAAACTGGCTTTATGTCAAAGAACTAGAAATACCTAATCATTGTATCTAGTATATATTTGTATACATGTTATATGCCAAATCAGATTATATTATTACCCAAGGAATTAAAATGTACATATTTGTTATCCCTCGCCGCACGTTTAGCGTCCGTCCGTACGAATTGGAATATCTTAAGAACCGTTCACTAGATTCTTTTCATAATTGGTACTTAGGTTCATCACAGTATAAGAAAGGTCCAAGTCAGGTTTGGTGACCTTGACCTTCATTTCAAGGTCACAAGGTTTACCTGCATGTTAAGCTATCTCAAGAACCGTTCACTGGATTTTCTTCATATTCAAAACAAAGCTTTATCTAGAGAAGGCGCAGGGCCCAGTCGATTTTGGTGACCTTCACATAATTTTCAAGGTCATGGCAACACTTTGAAGGTTTGAGCATGTAAACCTGCATGTTAAGCTATCTGAAGAACCGTTCACTGGATTTTCTTCATGTTTGAAACCAAGCAGGGCCCAGTCAATTTTGGTGACCTTCACTTAATTTTCAAGTTCACAGAGACACTTTGAAGATTTCAGCATATTAACCTGCAGGTTATGCTTGTCAGCGAGATACCTCAAGAGCCATTCACTAGAGTTTCTTCATATTTGACACCAAGCTTCATATAGGGAAGGCGCAGGGCCCAGTCGATTTTGGTGACCTTCACTTAATTTTCAAGATCACAGAGACACTTTGAAGATTTCAGCATGTTAACCTGAATTGTCAGCAAGATATTTCAAGGTTCACTGGATTTTCTTCAGACTTTCAAGACTTCCCTTAAATGTTTTTCAATAAGCAATTTTCTTTTAGTACTATTTTTGCATATTTCATACACTATGACATTCATGTCAAGGTCAAAGTCAGTCTTGAAAATATGTGTGTGTTTGAACACCTAAAGAGCAAGATATCAAGAGAGGTTGACTGGTCATGTTTTTGTTGACATTTAACTTAAACTTTCATTACTTTATAAGTTTGATTTGATAATTTGCGGCGGGGGATTATGTCACCTTAGTGACAATGCTTGTTTGTACATAATAATAATGAGTGACTTTATAAAGCGCTAATATACTCCTGGCACTAAGTCTCTGCTCTAAACGCTATGATGAGTATATACACAGTATTTAAAATGAGTAGGAACACAGAAATGTAGCAGTGATCGTAGATAGAAATTTGATTGACATCCATCATAGTTTACTTGTTGATAAATACTCCATCTGTGGTACAGAGACTGATAATCATGGATCTTACTTCCCGATAAGGATGTGTGTGTTCAGTCTTATTTTCTAACATTGTAGTTATTGCCCTGACTTGCAGGAGAGAGCTTGTTTTCCATCAGTGTGAGGACCTACTGATCATCATGAGCACGCATAACCTGTCTGCAACAGACGGAACTGTTCCCGACACAGATGGTCCATTTACAGTTCCTGGACATATTCCAAGAAGAGTTTGACTTTTTGTCAGGTATGGAAAAAGTACTGTTAAAAAATTCTCTTGAATTATGTTTGTGAATACAACCATAAAATAATGATTACAGCTCCTGAGAAAAGTTGCATTTTCCATACTGATGTATGTAAAGAGATTGATGTTCCAAACCAATATTTGAAGCTCACTTTTGATTTCCGAACCAATATGTTAAGTCCTTTGTTGACGTAAAAGGCAAAGTTAATATTTTAAGTCTCTTCTTGGCATTTGCTTCAAGTAAATAGAATTAATAGTCACTATTGGAAGCTAATGTTTGTCTTTCTTGTGAATGTGGATTATTTCCTTTCAATATATTAATCTCAAGCCTGGAGGTCTCACTTCAGTCAGAGACTGAATAATGTTGAAGGGAAACAGTATGTTTAGTTCAACCTTGACATTTACAAGGTTTCAACGATAAGCTATACAGGTATACAAAGCCTTACTTATGCCCTGTTCCCCTGCAGGAGGACTGCGTACAGTTCCCGAGGGTTTCTTCCTCCATCTGAGTCGTGAAATCGACATCAACAAGGAGGAAGGGACTCTGCTTGAAGTGTTCAAGCCAGTCCTGGAGGTGTAGTCAAGGAGAAGTTCAATGAAGGAGCTGACTCTCACTCACGCCAACACTCTCTACTACGTGGCCATCATGGAGTTCTTCACTAAATCAGCAGCACTGGGAGAGGTAGGGACTTGAATTTGTTGGTTATAATCCGTTTCCAAAGTAGCCTTATTTTCAGTCCTTTCAGTGGTGCGGGGGGTTGGCTTTAAGTTCTGTGAGTTTCATCTCTTACCAGTTCAAGATCTGCTTATCTTATCCCACCCCGCAACGGCTTCTTGGTGATATAGAAACGAGTTCCGTCCGTCCGTCTGTCACACTTTGTCCGAAGCATATCTCATAAACTATTCGTGATAGCTTAACCAAACTTGGTACACATGTCAAGCATGATCCCTCGATGTGCCTTTTGGGGATTAGACCCAGATGCAAATTTTATTTGCTGTTTCCATGGAAACATGACTTAGGCTGTGGCTATGGGGATGTCATCTTGTCCGGAGCAGATCTCCCAAACTATACATGCTAGCTTCATCAAACTTGGTACACATATCAAGCATGATCCCTAGATGTGCCTTTTGGGTGTTAGACCCAGATATAAATTTTATTTTTTGTGCCGTTTTCATGGAAACATGACTTATGCTGTGACTATGAGGATGTCATCTTGTCCGGAGCAGATCTCCCAAACTATACATGCTAGCTTCATCAAACTTGGTACATATGTCAAGCATGATCCCTAGATGTTACAAAAGTGTATTTTGCCATTGCGGATGATATTGATGACTTTGTCTTCTTGTCATGATTGGTTCGAATGCTAAATTTTATTTTATTTTCATCCTTGGTCTGTCTATGCCAAATATTTCCTTCAGGGTAACACTGTTATCTTGTGTCACTTTGCATTTCCCCCAACACTGAGTTGATGAAGAACAAGAACAAAGGACCCGAGATGCTCCGGGTTAGAATTGGTCTTCAGCAACCCATGCTTGTTGTAAGAGGCGACTAACGAGACCGGGTGGTCAGGTTCGCTGACTTGGCTGACACTTGTCATCGTATCCCAATTGATCGATGCTCATGCTGTTGCTCACTGGATTGTCTGGTCCAGACTCGATTATTTACAGACTGCCGCCATATAGCTGGAATATCGCTGAGTGAGAACAAAGACCTGATGCATGTTTATGTCCATAACCGAGATACAGAAATCAGATCTGCTTCTCTAAACGATTTGTTCATCCATCACAAGAATTTGTATTTCGACATTGACTGACTGGAGAGTTAACCTGTTGTGACCATCGGCAAGTTTGTCAGATGTTCAAGAAGAGAGATAGTGTACAGGGGTGGAAATAACCCATTGCCCGACACCCCAGTCAAGTGTTTTTTTCTGTCGGGCAAGCAAATTTGTATATCACACTGTACCGGTGTCCAGTTGACTTTCCAATGTTAATTATTATGTTTATTTAAAAAATCAACAAGAAAATCGGCCAGTATAGTGGAAAAATTATCTACAGGGCAAGTGACTTTACATGTGCCACTGTACCGGAGTACACTAGCAATTTTAAAGTTATTTCCACCCAATCTTTAGATCTGAGAGAAAGACCAGACAAAACAATAAGGGTTTTACCTCGACTCACAAACATCGGGGTCGCGGAGACCCCTTATCAGTGGTTTTGAGGGTCCTTGCAGGCAGTAAGGGCGTAGAGAAGTGTACGTTTTGATAATTTCTTTAGACCCTGGAATGAATCATCGATCATGTAGATTGATGGGTGAAATGATGCTCTGAAATAAACAACCAAACACTTAGCAAAGTTACAGGGCCTAGATTTTCGTAGAAGCTCTAAGCTAAGATACTTACGACTAAGTTAATGTTAAGATAGCGCCGAAAATCTTGGTCCCAGATCTGCCAATGTAAATCAAATACAATGGGTACAATGAATAATACTGTTCATCTCTGCATGCAATGATTTTTTCTGTGTCCATTCTCTACATCTGTGCGTACAGGGTGCACATTTGCGCAAAGCATAAATCCCTATCAGTTAATTGAAAAGTTTTTCAAAGAATTTTACCTTCCCAAAAGTTTACCAAAGTTGATAATGCTATGTGATATTTCATAGCAAATGAGTTCCTCAAATAAGTGAATGGTTCGTTTGTGATAGGAAGGTAATCTGTTACAAATTATCTCCCTTTTTCTGAACGTCCAGAAATGAAGGCAATACTGTAAAATCTGCAGTTGCCTTACCTGTCAGGAATTGAACTTTATGAATGCTGGAGATTCTCCTTTGTTTTGATGACTCTTGGGTTGCAGGCTGACATGTCTTGTTCTCTTAGGATCTGAATGACTGGTAAAACTGGTCTTGCTTTGAAGCTCCACACTAATTATGGATGGTGATCCTTGTTTGAAACAAAGTTTCAAACGAACAAAAAAATTAAAATGGACAAGATATTAACAAATTCAGAAACTACAACTTGCCTTGCTCAAGCACCATTTTATTAAAATGTGCATATGACACTTATCAGCAAAATGTGGATCAACTGGCAGAGACCCAGCTTTAATCCTATGAAAATGTGTACACCTCTGCTCTTAACATGTGGAAATTGTCGAAGAGTTGCCTCCCTTACATCAAAGAGTCCAAATAATTTGTGTTTGTGGTGAATTATTTGAAAGGAAAAGCAAGATTTTATGGATGTCAACATCTTTATTGTGAATAACACGACGTTTCAGAGTGTATGCTTGCTCCTTCATCAGGTGTGAGGATGAAGGAGCAAACATACACTCTGAAACGTTGTGTTATTCACAATAAAGAAGTTGACATCCATAAAATGTTGCTTTTCCTATGTATTCCACTTCTAAATACCCTTCAAAGATTTAATTATTTGAAAGACAAAACATCATGTTTGAATACAGATCAGATCTAGTTTTGCAAATTTGTAATTCAAGGAACAACATTTCTTGCCTAATCATGCTAATTGCATGTCGAAAGTCCATCTTCTTACGTCATTGTTGAGATTTTGTGAATGCTTTTAGCAGATCTAATCTATGACTTGAAAGACATTTTTATTTACCAGGGCTGCTCTGTACATATGTTTAGTCATTAATAACTATAGGGGGCGGTGGGGTAGCCCAGTGGATAAAGCATTTGCTCATCATGCCTAACCCAGGTTCGATTCCCCAGATGGGTACAATGTGTGAAGGCCATTTCTGATATCCTGCATATATACTGCTGCATAATTGCTACAAGTGGCATAAAACTAACCTCACTCACCCACTTTTGCATTGATATCCTTCCTCCATTATGGGGCGGTGGGGTAGCCTTGTGGTTAAAGTGTTGGCTCATCATGCTGAAGACAAGGGTTTGATTCTCAACTTGAGTACAATGAGTGAAGCCTATTTCTGGTGTCACCTGCCATGATATTGCTGGAATATTGCTAAAAGCGGCATAAAAACCATACTCACTCACTCACGATTTTGAGTATTCACAGTCACTTTTGTGTAACGATATTTTGAACTTGTAAATGACAGGCTTTCATGACATACAATGCACCATGGGACTGGAAGAACGGCAAGGCGTTTGAGATGACTCTGATCGGTGCAGCTCTGTCCCTCAGCTGTATCCCCAAGAACGAGACCGGACCATACGAGTTCTTCAACAATCCGTCTTCAGCTCCCAAACAGGAACATGACATCACCGAGGCCAACATCTGGCAGGTAAGGCATACCTGTCCTCATCTACTCTCAGTCAGTATTTGGCATAGACCATTCTACTATCTTCCATCTAGTGTTTGAAATTAGTCATGTGATACTTACTTGACAACTAATTCTTTTACGCCCAGAATTTCTGTTTGAAGGAATCAATTATATACACTTGAAACAGTTATACTATTACAATTAATTCTAAGATACATAGCGGTTAGAACAATCGACAAAAAAATACATTATCAGACAATAAAGGTATAGTTTTTTGATGACGTAACAATTGAATGACTGCGCCATTCTAGTGTGCCTCCTCGTAATCAAACCATTTTTACATTACGTCACAATGTAAGCGACGTCACGATTTATGTCAGTTGTCATCGCCTCGTTCAGCCTCCTACAGTAAACTACTCCGTTGCATCACATTTCTTGGTTTGCAGTTGCTTCACGCAGCTAGCATCACTGGTGGAAACATTACGTTTATGTTTTACGACGGTTAAAAGTGTCAATTCGACTCACAAGTTTTCAGCGACACGGTAACGTTCGCAATGTTTACATTCCCACAATGCAATTGTGGAATGTCGCTTGACTACTCAGCTTCATCTGGATGTACTGATCTAAACTTACGTTGGTAGTAGAAATGCGACGTTCATATTGCCCCATATTGTTTACGCTAATGACAGATGTAATTAAAATAATTCAGAGAAGATATTTAATCCGAACGTAAACCGTCATCAAACTGTTATCATTTGTTTTTTTCTGGTAACGTAGGGGGGCAGACATATTAATAGAAAGCTAGTTGGCCCTGTGCGAGGATTCTTGATTTAGGTCACCAACACCGTCGTTTGTTTTCTGCCTTAAATTAATCGTAATTATCTTTAAAAAGTATTAAATTTGGCATCTTAGAAAAGAAATACAGTTCGCTCTACCACCATGTATAGTGTAATAAAGCTACACTTTAAGCCCTGAACTATTATAACGTTAAGAAGCACTTTCGACCAAAGCGTCCTCAGACTTTAATTATAATAGTTCAGGGCGAAAGTGTGTTTTATTACACTATACATGGTGGTAGAGCGAACTGTAGTGCTTAATTAATTCATGCCCACACTTGAAACAAACTGCTCAAAGGAATTATGTAACTAGTGGTTCACTCATTTAGTCCTGCCTTATATTTGCACCCATCCATAAGAGAACTGGCCCAATTTCTACGGTATGATTCTCATCCTTGGATTTCTCTGCAGTGGCAGCTCTGCATATTTGATAAAAGCAGCGTTAACACACCTTGTGGGGATTCTGGGAGAGATTATGATTGCTTTCATCTCCAGGAGAACTGACACAGTACCCAAAATGAGATTCTTATTTTTGGTTTCTCTGCTTTGGTAGCTCTGCATACATTGATAATGGTACTTGATAAATGCAGCATTAACATGCCTTGTGGGCAGCCTGGACCAGAATATATCTCCAGGAAGGTGGATAACAGGCAACTAAATGGAGCGGTGGTCTTGGATGATCATGTGTCATCTTACCAAGGTGTTGGACATTGTTCATAATATCAAATACCAGTTATCTGACCCAGTCTTGACTTTATTTCAGCCACTGTCAAACCTATGTGAGCATGTCCACCAGATGTTTCTGTCTCTAATCAAACTCTCCCCGGATCTCCGTCACACCGTCCTTACCTGGCTGGGCAAATGTCTGCAGGCTAATTCAGGTATGGAGAAGTCATGTGATCTGTTTTAATTGGCCTGTAACCATGGTAACTGACAAATTAAACACTAGATCATTGTTATGCTAGTTTTCAACAATAACAAACAGAATGGGAGGAAATTTGAAATAAATTGGTGTGAAAAATACCCACTCACTCACTCACTCACTGGTGTGGTGATCTACTTTCAGTTTTGGCGATCTATAGCTTTTAAAAAGCCACTTGCCACAGGGCAAGTGACTTTAAGAAAGTAACTTGTCCTGACTAATTTTCCACTTGCCCTGATTTTATGACATAATTATGATGATGTAATTATGAAAGAAGAAATCAACATGGTATTTGATGTTAATGTTTACTGGACTATTTATTGAAAAGTGATAAATAGCAAAGAAAGAATACTCTACTTTATTATCATTGCGAAATTTAATAGCTACATTTTGAGCAGATATGAAATTAAATCAAAGTTTATTTGCAGTTTGAAACCATAAGTGGAAATTATCTAGTAGCCCACGGACAAGTAAGATACCATTATTTGATTGCCTGAAATGAAAACTGACTTGTCCCGGGCGTCGGGCGATGGGATTTTTGAACCCCTGCTATAGCCTGTTTTATATTGTATTGTCCAAATAGTGCTATGAGTTGTAACTTTCTACGCTAGTTTTAGTTGTAATTGTGATATTCTAGTTGTTTTACTGTCCTTCGTCAACAGGTTTTTATAATGTACATATGTTCTATTAGAATGTCAAGTATGTTCTCGTCACGATATGGCTGAAATATTGTCGATGTGACGTTAAATATTCACTCACTCACACTCACTCACTCACTCTGTATTTCAGGTAGGACAAAGATCTGGTCCAACCAAATCCCACAGCTGTTCAACCAGATGTACTGTTCCGAGGGGTTCAGCCTCAATTTGTGCCATGTGATGCTGAAACTCTGCCAACCCTTCTCCAACCCTACCTCAGCTAAACTACTCAAAATCCAGCCATCTTACACCAGCGCTGTGGCTGCCAGCGATGAAGAGGTCAAGTCCAGGTGTATCCATGCAGGCGGTGAGCACGTTCAACACTTACAAGCTAAGCCATACCAAGAGATCCACCTTCTCTTATTCTCTAAGGGGAAGCCTGGGATTTTACAAGAGACAGAATAATTTGGGGGTATCACTCCTACGTAAAATTCCTATAATCCTATAATCTGAACATATTTCTTGACTTTAAGGATTTCCAGTAACAAATGTTTTAGAAAAGAATATGAGAAGAAACAAGATTTGTCAAGCAACTCAAGCCAAATATAGGTGTTAAAACCTTTTTGTGCCCTAAGGCAACTTGTGTTGTGTATCCCTAGGGAGTTGAGAATGGTACTTGGAAAGCGTAATTGGTTCCAAATGTTGTGTTGGTTGTATGAGGTGACTTAATGGATGAGGTTGTCAGTCTGTGTTTGATGCTTGTCTTCATACCCCAATGGTAAGAAGCGACTATCGGGATCTGGTGGTCAGGCTCACTGACTTGGTTGACACATGTCATCAGTTCTTAATTTCGCAGATCGATGCTCATGCTGTTGATCACTGGCTTGTCTGGTCCAGACTCATTTATTAACAGACCGCCGCCATATAGATGGAATATTGCTGAGTGTGGCGTAAAACTAAACTGACTCACTGACTCACTCTCTCATACCCCAATGACAAGATTTTTTATTTCCAATCAATCACTGGATTGTCTGGTCCAGACTCAATATATTCACCTTCTGCCGTGATATAGCTGGATGGGTAGTGTACATACTAACACATGCTAACTCTGTAGCACACTCGTTTGCCCATTCACTGACACAGTCCCAGCATATTTGTGTGAATATGTATTACCAAGGAACCTCTATTCCTCTCAGGCCTGAACACTGAAACAAAGCTGGTACAGGTGGAAGACGAGTCTGCCCAGCCGTCTCCCCCCTCCGACACGTCATACAACTTCATCACGGAGTGCTTCTTCCTGACACAGCAATGTCTTGAACCTGGGTTTCCACATGGTGCATGACAAGTTCCTGAAGCTCAACCAGGACCTGCACCGAGTCCAGAGAGTGTACAACGACATGCGGGGGCAGGCACCAGACGAGGAGCAAGAACCCATGCGAAGTGTCAAGGCTCAAATGGAGAAAGGTAGATTATCTCCCTTTACAGCAGGTGTACATACTGAAATGATGTTATCAGACTGTGTGTCAAATCTCAGATGGAGAAAGGTAGATTATCTCCCTTTACAGGCTTATACATACTGAAACCCTGTCATCAGGATGTGTCAAGGTTGAGATGGGGGAAGGTAGATTATCTCCCTTTACAGTGGTATACATACTGAAACCCTGTCATCAGGATGTGTCAAGTTTCAGATGGAGAAAGGTAGATTATCTCCCTTTACAGTGGTATACATACTGAAACCCTGTCATCAGGCTGTGTCAAGGTTGAAATGGGGAAAGGGAGATTATCTCCCTTACAGCAGATGTACATACTGTAATGTTGTTACCAGACTTGGATTGGGTGGTGAGTTTCACTGACTTGGTTAATGCATATCATGGTATCCCATTCATGTAGATTGATACTCATGACATCAATCACTGGATTGTCTGGTCTAGAATGGCAATTTTCCGATGATCATATAGCTGGAATTTGGATAAGTATGCCATAGGGTAGACAGAACCTCCCATCAATTGTGGCATTAAAACCTTTAAGACTGAATGTTAGATCACCTTTGACACCCGATGTAAAAGCACCTGTAACTCTGTAACACCTGTAACACCTGTATCACCTGATGTAAGACTACTGTCTCATCTACTACAACCGACTCTTTCCTTCAGGTATGACTCTGTACCTGAGTATGAAGGCGGCCCTCACGGAACCCAGACTGATGGAGATGTCTCTCAACTTCCACATTGCCGCAGCAGCATGGTTGGTGCAGGTTGCCGTCCACGACGACATCAGCAAATGCCAGACTGTCACATTCCCCCTCCCTGAAGAAGCTCCTGCTGCACTGGCATACATTCCAGAGTTCCTCATGGGAAACCTCACCGACTTTGTGCTCTTCTGCCAGAGGTTCAAAAGTGACATGTTTCAGGTAATAATAATCTGTATATAACAATAACATGACTACCACTTGAGGCTTTTCTCCCACATAGCACGGGGGCGGTGTGGTAGTCTAGTGGTTAAAGTGTTCACTTGTCAATCCGAAGACCCAGATTCAATTCCCCACATGGGTACTAGGGGTGGGTATTGCAGAGAATTTTCATATTGCGATATATTGCGATGCAGAAGCATATATTGCGATATGTATTGCAATATATTGCAAGGATTATTTTTTTAACAAAAACTACTTATAATCGAGTTAATGCTTGATTATAAGCAAAAACACAACCAAATCACTATGATTGATTAACCGTTTATAAAAAAATTTAATCATGACAAAATAAAAACGTAATTAACATTTTGCACTAATGAAACAGGAAAAAGAACAATTTAAAAAACGGAAATATCCGAAGATTTCCGAGTGTTGTGAAGTTTTCCGAATGCATGTCAAAATACCGGTTTTCGATCAGCGTATCGCAATACGTATCGTTTTCATGTCTGAACCGGTAAACACCGGTAAACCGGTTATATTGCGCAGCCCTAATGGGTACATTGTATGAAGCCCATTTCTGGTGTCCCCCGCCATGATATTGCTGGAATTCGCTCACTACCACATAGCACTGACTAGCTGTTATATAATATATAAATGAAATACTGTGCAAAAGAGCATGAATTACCAACACTATTATGTATCAGGATATATATAAAATCTACTTCATTCCTATCTTCCCTTCTTTGTTCCATTGTTGTCAGTGTGTATCAATCATTTTGGGCATTTTGTGGATCGTTTAGCTGAACTGGTATTGGAAACAATGCCTGTTCCTTCCTTCAAAAGAACTATTTCTTGAGATCAACATCAGATGTTGCTGCTAGCAACACATAAATCTTAGGGCATCCCATTGCTGGTCACATCAGAATGACCTTTCATGGAAACTCACGAATAATGGATGGTGGTGTAGCCTTGTGGTTAAAACGAATGCTTGTCTCGCCAAGACCCAGGTTTGATTCCCAACATGGGTACAATGCGTGAAGCCCATTTCTGTGTCCCCCGCTGTGATATTGCTGGAATATTGATGAATGTGGCGTAAAACTAAACTCACTCAAACACTCAATCTACAATTGAAGTTGAAGATGATGGAACTGTAATGATGCATTTGTGTCTGTAGCTGGCAGGGGAGCAAGTCAACCATCTTATGACGCTGATCCTGGTGTTCATGGGAAGTCCCGAGCGGATGAAGAACCCCCACCTGCGTGCAGAACTGGCAGACACTCTGGCTGCTCTCATGCCTGACAAGGACAGCGGTCGTAGTGGAATACTCTCAAGGTGAGCCATATACTCTGTTTAATGCTTCTTCTGTTTGTATGTTGTTCAACACTGCACTATTCCAGCTATATGGTGGCAGTCTGTAAATAATCAGTCTGGACCAGACAATCCAGTGATCAATATCATGAGGACTGATCTACGCATTTGGGATACTTCACCTTTACTTCCACTAATGCTGCACCTTTTGTTTTACTGTAGGGATTCCATTAAAATTGGCTCCCAGTAATCAATGCTTGCTGACTTTTAGGTTGGCCAAAATGCTCTTGATACCCAAAGGCCTGGGGCGTTGTTGTATTTACAGGATGTTAACATTTTGCTGTAATATTTTTAAGTGCAGAGTTAACAATCCCTTTACTTGCCTGCAGAAGCATGTCAAATTGTAGTAAATTGTGATGGTTCGTGCTGTTCCAATATTCAAGAGCAGTTCCTTTTTGTCTGTCAAAATATCATGTATAGTATTTAGTTTATAGACTCGAGTAGTGGCTGAAGTCACACACTGGTTGTACACAATCGTTAAACTGTGCATGTAACATATTTCCTATCACTCCATGTCGTTGGTCAGCTTGTTGAAGTAAATGTTTCTGTTGCAAGTTTCCACCGAGACCAGCTGTTTGTGAAGCACCCTCAGGTTTCCCATCTGTCCACGATGTTGCTCCATGTGTTCGTCAGTATTGAGATGACAGGGCAGAGTGTGGAGTTTGAGCAGAAGTTCAACTACCGTCGTCCCATGTACCAGGTGCTGGAGTACATCTGGGAGATTGACATACACAAACAAGCCATTAAGGTGGGGCAGAATTTTACTTTCTCCTGTTTGTCAGTTTAAAGCGAAATACCATTCTCTTCCCACAGAGGTTACTTGTCATATCTTCCTACGTAACCTCTGTTCTAATACAGCCCTTTCATGGTGTGAGCGTTCAAGACTGGTGACTGGAGGCAATCAGATTTAGTTGTGCAATCAGCGACGTTGTTTCAAAAGTGATCATTCGCAAGGCCTCGGTAAATTCCGTATGCTTCGAGAAAACTAAACCTCTTCCCCTGCGTGATGCGCAAACGTTTCTTCTAGACAGAACTCATGTTATGGCGGAAAAGTGGCGTCTCCATCGCCCTCGTTGACAACGGACAAGCTAGCCATTAAACGTCTTGTGTGTAACATCAACACAAGTCCCCGGCAGATGGGGGATATTTGTGGCCCCACATTTGCTTGTGTTAGTCAAGTTGAATCTAAGTCGATGTGACACGTGTTCTGATTGGATAGAAAGAAGGGAGATAATTCCTTTTTGCGATCTTTTGCTGCTAGGGGATTTTACGAGAACCGGGAAATATGGCCGTATTAGAACAGAGGTTACGTAGGAAGATATGACAGGAGTAACCTCTGTGGGAAGAGAATGGCGAAATACATGAAGGAAGGTGTTTCCTATTCTCGCGGTACTTACAGATATCGGCTGAACAAATAACAAACAATTCTATGAATGCTTGTTGTTTTTAAATGAAGGGTCTTCTCCTCTAACATCTGCATATATCAGCTGCTAGATCCATCAGGTGATTGACCACTCGTGAGCCCAGTGATAAACAATGCCATCCACCATTGACGAAATCAGGCTTCTCCCATTCTCGCGGTATAACGAGTAATTAACTCACAAATATTAATGACATTGCAAGATTTTGATCACTCACAGACTTGGGCCACTTCCTAGTTACCAGTCGGTAATGTAAACAACCGCTAAGTGTCGCTAAGATCGTACGCATTTCAGCAGAAAACATGTTTACCGCGAATAGGAGACGGACCTATACTCATTGTAGGTTGGTACAACTTAGCAGAATTGGAAAGATTGTAACAACAATAGTGCAAATAGCGTATTCAAAACATCAAAAGGAAGTGGCTTCCATACACTCATAGAACCAACTGATTATGTCTTAGTTCTACTATGGACCCGTGAAGATCCGGGATAGAACTGATCTTCAGTAACACATACATGTCTTAAGAGGCGACTAACGGGATCGGGTGGTCAGGCTCGCTGACTTGGTTGACATATGTCATCGGTTCCCAATGGCGTAGATCAATGCTCATGCTGTTCATCACTGGATTGTCTGGTCCAGACTCAATTATTTACAGACCCTGCCATATAGCTTGAATATTGCTGAGTGTGGCGTAAAACTTAACTCACTCACTCACTCACTCTGTTCTACTTTGATGTAATCCCTGGACCCATCCATCATTATAAAATGAATATCCCTCTCTCATATTCCACTGCAACCCATGAAGACCCGGGAAAGTATTGTCCTTTCAGGATTGAAATTGTCGAGGGTAGCATAGTGAAAGTGGGATCGATTCCCCACATGGGTAATATATGTGAAACCCATTTAAGCGAAAGTCTGTATCGATCACATCCAAAGTTCTTTGTGTGCTCATGACACTTTGAAATGTTGTCATACGTTTTCACTCACCTTATTGGTTTGCTATTTACTTCAACTGAACCTACAAGCTACATCCAATATCAATGCCAAACAAACAATCTGTCACTTACGTTTTTGACAGCACTAAAACTTTTTCAGTACCATTTCCACATAGTGGTGAGGGGGCGCTGAGGTAGCCTAGTGATTAAAGCATTCGCTTGTCACACAGAAGACCCGGGTTCGATTCCCCACATGTATACAATGTGTGAAGCCCATTTCTGGTGTCCCCCCGACATGATATATCTGGAATATTGGTAAAAGCGGCATAAAACCAACTCACTCACTCACTCATAGTGGTGAGTTAAGTCTTTGTGCTCTCAGTTTCAAACTGATATAAGTCTCTGATATATTTCAGAAATCTGCTCACAAGCTACTGTTTTGTAACCGATTCTCATCATTTTGTTACTAAAATGGTAGCAGGACAGTGCTTGTTGACCGAGAAGCTGCCAGTGAAGTCACTTCTCATAGAAGAGAAGAAAAAATATAATTCAAAATGGCCGAGCAGAAACGTGTGACTGTGCAATACAGTATCACCATATCATGACAGTACTATGTAGTTCTGACCGCCTCCGTGGTGTAGTGGTTAGAGCGTCCGCCCGGAGAGCGGAAGGTCGCGGGTTCGATCCCCGACCGTGTCATACCAAAAGACGTTAAAATATGGTACTTGTTGGTCCCTGCCTGGCCCTCGGCATTAATGGGTACAACAAGGACTGGTCGAATCGGAGTCAGTTTAATGTGTCTGAGTGGGGTATTCATGCTTCACTGCAGCATGGTATCTCAGTGGGCTAGCACTATAAAACCAGCTTAAGTCTGGGCTAGTACAAGCGGACGCACATACACATACACATGCATGCACGTCGTCATATGAGCGAAATATTCTCCAGCACGACGTAAAACCCAATTTCACCTCACCTCACCTCACTATTTAGTTCTGGATAAGGATGTTAAACTTCCTCCCTTTTCATTCCAGGAATTGTCAGTGATAGCCGAGGCCCATATCGAGGACACCGACCCTCCACTCTTCTTGAGATTCGTTAACCTGTTAATCAATGATGCTATCTTCCTTCTTGATGAGGCATTACAGGTAAAACATCTATATGATTATCACATAATTGCAAAATTAGTTTCTCCATCAAATGGTAATGAAATATCTTATTCATGCTCAATTTATCCTCCAAAGTCACTTTTGTGATAAAATACAGCAATCGAATAAGGCCCTTCAATTATTTTTTGAATTATGTCATAATTACCTTTGCTTTTGTACTTTTGTTACCAGTATGATATAGTCAATATTGAAATATGCTGTTAGGACATACAATCACATGTTTACCATAAATACATGTCATAATCTGGTTCCATGAGTGGCAGGAATTTGATCCAATCAATTTCCCATCAAGTGTCGATTATCCTTGACTGGCTAATGGTTCCTCTGCTCCTTATCAGGATTGAAATATGACGCCGATCACCGTATTCAAGCTAGTTTCCAAGTACGATTAATGCAGTTAGCAGACATTTCCAATTTTCTGTCATCCACACAACCACTCTTCAGGGTGTCAGGTCTACAACAGCACACACAAAAAACAGTTGTAAACAATTTAATAGAATTTCAATTTCATTTTATAAACCCATTTCAATTCCAAAAGCCTATCTTTATTTTCTTGACTTGACTTTTAATCTTGATAAAAAGTTTCAGCTGAATCATGAAATATGAATATTTTTTGTATTTTTACTTTGGTTTAAATAAGAATGAGTTGTGTCATATCAGGTGTTTTTCAAGCTGTCATCATGGGAGTTGAGATGAGCTTCACTCAGTTGCCATTTGTTAGGCTGGGAAACTGATCATGGTATATTGAATGGAAGTATAATTATCCTGGTCCTTCTCACCCGATCTGTTTTTCTAGACATTATCACTGATTGATTATGGGGTTATGATCCCCTGAGGGTTGAAAATGACCCTGTTCGACATTTCCATCTTTCGAAATATGTAGCCTTTGGCTACAGTACCAAATTGTCAATATTGAATGCCTCATAGGATTAATTTTCATCTTAGACCAGAGTTTAAATGGGTTCTTATCGTGTGATATATCAAATTGTAAGAATTTTACTTAGCTCACCTTATGTGGAGATGTGAGTCCTGCAGTTTTGTTGCCGGCCTGAAGTCCGAGTCAAGTAGAATTTAGTTTGGTCTAGTCCATATACTACCTCTTAGATAGGTCTACTGAAAAAGAGATGATTTCAACTGGTAGCTTCAAATTTATGGGACCCGTGCATGTATCTGTGCATAGTCTTACTCAGATGGCAAAACAGTACTGGTTATTTGTGAGAATTGTGTGATTTAAATTTCAGTCTTACATTTATATAAATGCATCAAATAGCCTTTGCTTCTGAACATTTTTTACCAGCTCCATAGCATGATGGAGTAGACTGTTTTTCCACCTGCATGTTTTTGTTTTAGAACCAGAGAATGTTCAGAGTTTGGATACCACACTTACACTCTTATTATGGCGGGCCATTCTCAGTCTCCAGTTGGAAACTCTGATCTAGTCAAATTTCTCTCCTTGTCATAAGATCCAGTCATATTACGGGGCGGTGGGGTAGTCTAGTGGTTAAAGCATTGACTCGTCACGCCGAAGACCCGGGTTCGAATCCCCACATGGGTACAATGAGTGAAGCCCATTTCTGGTGTCCCCCGCCGTGATATTGCTGGAATATTGCTAAAAGCGGCGTAAAACCAAAACTCAGTCAGTCAGTCCAGTCATATTACACCATTGTAGACAATCCCATGCTTGTCGTAAGAGGCGACTAACAGGATCAGATGGTCAGGCTCGCTGACTTGGTTGACGCATGTCATCGTATCCCATTCAAGTAGAACGATCCTCATGCTGTTGATCACTGGATTGTCTGGTCCAGACTCAATTGTTTACAGACCGCCACCATATAACTGGAATAATGCTGGGTGCGGCTTTAAACAACAAACCAACCAGCACAACATACTGCATACAACTTGAATAGTTCCTCATGGTCAGGGGCGGTGGGGTAGCCCAGTGGTTAAAGCGTTGGCTTCTTACGCTGAAGACACAGGTTTGATTCCCCACATGGGTACAATGTGTGAAGCCCATTTCTGGTGTTCCCCGCTAAGTGGCGTAAAACTATTCATACACTATTCATACTCACTCACTCCACTCACCTCACTGTCTGAGTGGGTATTCATGCTTCACTGCGCATGGTATCTCAGTGGGCTAACACTATAAAACCAGCTTAAGTCTGGGCTAGTACAAGCAGCCATACACACATACACATGCATGCGTCTTCATATGAGCAAAATATTCTCCAGCACGACGTTAAACCAAATTTCACCTCACCTCACCTCACCTTCTCACCTCGCCTCTGATATGTTGCTGTTACATGACATTCACATACATGCTCACTTACTCTCTCCAACTCACCATTGTTCCAGTATATGAGCCAGATTAAGGAGAAACAACAGGAGAAGGAGCGTGGGGACTGGAACAACCTGGAACCACGACAACGACAGGAGACGGAAAACAACTTCCGCCACCTGGGGATGCTGGCTCGCTACCACAACGTGATGGCCAACTACACCATCCACGCCCTGGAGCTGCTGACGAGGGAGATCCAGACCATCTTCTGCCACAACATGCTAGTCGACCGGATTGCAGGCATGCTCAACTACTTCCTCCTGCATCTGGTGAGTGAATGTACACCAGGATTATATGTACTAGTGCTGGGAATTGGTTAAAATCTCATAATTGATGATTGGTTCATTACTACCGATCAGTCATCGAAAATAATTGGTTAGCGTCATTTATGAAATTTGTTGATGCACATTAAAATAAGGGGAAAAATGTAGTTCTTCTGGGGTTTTTTGGCAAAATTTCACATCTTTAAAGGATGACTAGTATGTTAGGAACATAAATTTCTTGGAATCTTTAAGATAAATTCAATCACGACTTGAAACGAGCTTGTAGTGCTTACGAAATGTAACAGACAAAACCAACCATGTAAAAAATATTGTTAATGAAAACAAGTGTTCCAGAATTGTTTGTGTTCGATTATGAGAAATTATGATCGATTGTTTGGTCGTTTAGGCACTACGACCAATCTTCGATTATTTCAATTAATCGGACCACCACTAATATGTACATAGCCTCAAAGCAGTCCCTGTTCTAAAACATTCCGCATACACTCTGATAAATTTGTTACCTTTAAATGGTAGGATTCTCAGAGCTTTAAAACTTCTTGAAACATCACTCTTATAACATTTGTTTAAACATGATTACTTAAGGCTATGACTGTCTCAATTACTTTTTATAAAGTGACATTAAAGAATGAGTGAGTTAAATTTTATGCTACATCAACCATATTTCAGCCCTTTTGTGATGACATGTACTTTAACTTGAATGTTACAACACTTCCCTGATTAATAGGAGGGTGCCCTGTTGTCTAAGACATAGAGATTATCCTGTGCAGAACTTTGCCCCTTGCACACACCACAAACCTAAGAAACCTGTTTGAATCCCGGTTCACCATGATTATTTCTAAGGTTGTCACCCGTGAAGATCCGGGTAAGAATTGGTCTTGAGCAACATATGATTGTGGTAAGAGGTGACTAACGGGATCAGATGGTCAGGCTCGCTGGCCGTCGACACATATCATCATATCCCAATTGCAAAGATGAATGCTCATGCTGTTGATGACTGGATTGTCTGGTCCAGACTCTATTATTTACCGACTACCGCCATATAGCTCTTGCTGAATATGGTGTTAAACAACAATAAATCAATCAATCAATTTTAGGTTTCTCACCACCATCTCCATGTGGAAGTGTATCACCAAAGTGATACATCTTTATTCTTTCAACCTTACCCCCGGGGCGGTGGGGTAGCCTAGTGGTTAAAGCGTTGGCTCGTCATGCCGAATACCCGGGTTCGAATCCCAACATGGGTACATTGTGTGAAGCCCATTTCTGGTGTCCCCCGCTGTGATGTTGCCGGAATATTGCTAAAAGCGGCGTAAAACCAAACTCAGTCAGTCAGTCAAGCTTACCTCCAATATTTAGCTGACACACCATGATACAACAGGATTACTTTTCAAATATGTATTAAAACCAACTCACTCGGTCAGTCAGTAAATAGATATATAATTCACCTTTTTCCTGAAATGCAGGTCGGCCCCAAACAGAGGAACTTTAACGTCAAGGACAAGAATGAGTATGAGTTCAAGCCTCAGCAGATTGTGCAAGACATCACCAAGATCTACCTGAACCTGGGGGAGAGTGACATGTTCTGTAGGGCAGTGTCAGGGGATGAGAGGTCGTACTCCCCAGAACTGTTTGCCAAGGCCGTCCAAGTCCTGCAGAAGATCAGCACTATGCCACAGGTCATGAGTGACTTCCTCGGACTAGAGGATAAGATCAGAGTAAGTCTTAGATTTCTGAGGACAAGATCAGTGTAAGTCTTAGATTGTGGAGGACAAGATCAGGGTAAGTCTTATATTGCTGAAGATAAGATCAGAGTAAGTCTTAGATTGCTGAGGACAAGATCAGTGTAAGTCTTAGATTGTGGAGGACAAGATCAGGGTAAGTCTTATATTGCTGAAGATAAGATCAGAGTAAGTTTTAGATTGCTGAGGACAAGATCAGTGTAAGTCTTAGATTGTGGAGGACAAGATCAGGGTAAGTCTTATATTGCTGAAGATAAGATCAGAGTAAGTTTTAGATTGCTGAGGACAAGATCAGTGTAAGTCTTAGATTGTGGAGGACAAGATCAGTGTAAGTCTTAGATTGTGGAGGACAAGATCAGGGTAAGTCTTATATTGCTGAAGATAAGATCAGAGTAAGTTTTAGATTGCTGAGGACAAGATCAGTGTAAGTCTTAGATTGTGGAGGACAAGATCAGGGTAAGTCTTATATTGCTGAAGATAAGATCAGAGTAAGTTTTAGATTGCTGAGGACAAGATCAGTGTAAGTCTTAGATTGTGGAGGACAAGATCAGGGTAAGTCTTATATTGCTGAAGATAAGATCAGAGTAAGTTTTAGATTGCTGAGGACAAGATCAGTGTAAGTCTTAGATTGTGGAGGACAAGATCAGTGTAAGTCTTAGATTGTGGAGGACAAGATCAGGGTAAGTCTTATATTGCTGAAGATAAGATCAGAGTAAGTTTTAGATTGTTGAGGACAAGATCAGTGTAAGTCTTAGATTGTGGAGGACAAGATCAGGGTAAGTCTTATATTGCTGAAGATAAGATCAGAGTAAGTTTTAGATTGCTGAGGACAAGATCAGTGTAAGTCTTAGATTGTGGAGGACAAGATCAGGGTAAGTCTTATATTGCTGAAGATAAGATCAGAGTAAGTTTTAGATTGCTGAGGACAAGATCAGTGTAAGTCTTAGATTGTGGAGGACAAGATCAGGGTAAGTCTTATATTGCTGAAGATAAGATCAGAGTAAGTCTTAGATTGCTGAGGACAAGATCAGTGTAAGTTTTAGATTGCTGAGGACAAGATCAGTGTAAGTCTTAGATTGTGGAGGACAAGATCAGGGTAAGTCTTATATTGCTGAAGATAAGATCAGGGTAAGTCTTAGATTGCTGAGGACAAGATCAGTGTAAGTCTTAGATTGCTGAGGACAAGATCAGTGTAAGTCTTATATTGCTGAGGACAAGATCAGTGTAAGTCTTAGATTGCTGAGGACAAGATCAATGTAAGTCTTAGATTGCTGAGGACAAGATCAGGGTAAGTCATATATTGCTGAGGAAAAGATCAATGTAAGTCTTAGATTGCTAAGGACAAGATCAGAGTAAGTATTAGATTGCTGAGGATAAGATCAGAGTAAGTCTTATATTGCAGAGGGCAAGATCAGAGTAAGTCTTACATTTCAGACTTTTGTTTCTGAACTCAGGAGCTAGAGCATCTCAGGATGCACTATATTACTGATGCCTATGCTCAGTTACAGTCATGATATCAAGTTTACCCGAATCCAGGACATGGCTGGAACTCCCATTATGTTTCCTATGCTGAAAATTCACTTTGAGGTTTTAAAATGGCTGCAAGAGTCAATATGCAGTCATGGTGGTGTCATGTTTCACCATGGCTACAAAACTATGTTTGTATTATCATTATTGTCCATATCTATATCTGTGTACCTGATGCTTCCCCAGTGCTACTACTGTGTATGCAGTATCATTTCCCATGGCCACATCTGCTTCCCAAATATAATGCTTTCACAATGGTTATGTCTTTGTATTATGCTTTGCCCAGGGCTACAACTGTATCTGTGATGTCGTGGCTCCTCATATATATGTTATGTTTGCAGTGCTTGGCCGACAGTATTCGCAGGAGGAAGAGGAACTGCTAGCAGATGTTCCTGAAGAGTTCTTGGACCCAATCATGGGAACTCTGATGAAGGATCCTGTACTGCTGCCTTCCTCCAAGAACATTGTAGACAAAGCCACCATCGCCAGGCATATACTCAGGTCAGTCTGCCATGTTGTACCTCACCACCTGCAGCTGTCAACAAGCTGTTGACGTGATGTGTTAGTAATCTACTGTAGAAGCCCCCAACCAGACAATCTGGTGATTGTTGTTGTGAGCCTTAATCCATTTAGCCAGGGTGTGATGACACACCTTCACTGAAGGTGACCACCCAGTTCGGTAACTTAAGGGAATGGTAGTTCAGGGTGGGTAGGTCAGAGATTATTGATGCTCTTACGCACTGAACATAATTAATTCTTTTCCTTTATGAAAGTCATATTTTCAAATGACCCTTCCAGTATTCTTGTACATTTAATCCATGACCCTCCCTGAAAAGAAAATGATGAAATGTCCTATCTGACGCAACATGCCCCAAAAATGTGCAGTTTAATATAACACACGTCCGAAGACTGGCATAATTTGTGTGGCACACCTTACCTCCAACACAGTTCTTTCTTCCCACATGAACACCCTCTCCCAACCCATCCCATTCAATTTTGACCTTATTTGACTTTTGCTTTGCACTTTGACTGTGATCCTAAATTCTCTCAAAATGCAACACATTTCTTCACACTGTAAAAAAACCCATCTCAGAATCTATTTACCCATTCAAGCTGAAACATGCTTGTACTCATCAAAAATGACCACTGAATTTGTTGAAGATTTTTTAATCCAATTTTTTCACTATCGCTACCGACCGCCTCTGTGGTGTAGTGGTTAGAGCGTCCGCCCGGAGAGCGGAAGGTCGCAGGTTCGATCCCCGACCACGTCATACCAAAAGACGTTAAAATATGGTACTTGTAGGTCCCTGCCTGGCGCTCGGCATTAATGGGTACAACAAGGACTGGTGGGCTCGGAGTCAGTATAATGTGTCTGAGTGGGGTATTCATGCTTCACTGCGGCATAGTATCTCAGTGGGCTAGCACTATAAAACCAGTCTGGGCTAGTACAAGCAGCCGCACATACACATACACGTGCATGCACGTCGTCATATGGGCTTAAATATTCTCAAGCACGACGCTTAATCCACTTCACCTCACCTCACCTCAATATCGCTACCAGCCAACATTGACATGACTCTATTTGTTCCTTGTTTCAGCTTAATCAGTCAGATCCGCTCAACAGATCTCCACTTAGCTTAGAGAAGGTTGAACCTCTTCCTGAACTAAAGGCAAAGATACATGCATGGATAGCAGAAACAAAATCAAAAGCCGGACAATCATAGCATACAATAACATTTGCATATTAAAGTGGGATCACTATCAGACTCTACCACTGATGGATGGATGGTCTTCAAGATGAAGGTCACTTCTATCAGATGGCGATTTGTGAGATTTGGCTAAATTCCCATGCTGAATTCAGGAGACAGCTACAACACTGAACTCTCTCAAGGAAACAGTGTCTATATTTTGTATTCAAACTCAGTGGAACAGATCTTTAGCTCTCATGTACTGTTGAATGTGCAATTAAGTGTTTCAGGTACACAGTAATGTGATTCTCCTAGATATGTTGGCTGTGAAATAAATTTAGGCAACAATGTGTTAAATATGAGATGTCAATGGTATATTGCTTTGTGTGATTCCGCCCTCTTTCATTGCTTTATGAAATACACCCACACCATCCAACATTCTCTCCTAATTTGAATCGCTTCCCTTGGCTGTAGGTGTAACACAGATGCCTTGAACAATTTGTTTAAAAATACAATTTTCTTTGTCTGTTGGTGCATGGGATGTTGAAATGTGGATGAAAATCTGACATTTAATATATTATGGCCTTTTATGATATTAATTGGATGGTCCTTCTGAGAGGTGCATCAAATATATCCAAGGTCACAGTGACCCTGTTTTGCCACCATGCGAGAACAGGCAGTGTCATTGTGACTTGGTAATATATCACCAAGGGATTACACATGAGGTCACAGTGACTTTGACCACAATGACAGAACACACCACCAGGTCAAGCAAGGTCATGATGACCCTGTTCCACTATCATCAAAATATGAGCAAGGCCATGTTCCCTGTTCCACTATCATGAGAATGCAAGCAAGGTCATGCTGACCCTGTCCCACCATAATGAGAGTATAAGCAAGGTCATGTTTACTCTGTCCCACTATCATGAGAGTACATGCAAGGTCACATTGACCCAGTTCCACTATCATGAGAATGCAAGCAAGGTCATGCTGACCCTGCACCACCATCATGAGAGTATAAGCAAGATCATGTTAACCCTGTCCCACTATCATGAGGGTACATGCAAGGTCACATTGACCCAGTCCCACTATCATATACAAGCAAGGTCATGCTGACCCTCTACCACCACCATGAGACTACATATGAGGTCATGTTGACCCTGTGTTACTACCATGAGAGTATCTGAGGTTACACTGACTCTGTACTACCAACACCAGACAAGTTCATACCATCAGGTCACTGTGACCCAGTTGTTGTAAAATCAAACATTATCACCACTTGTTGTTATGATGGACTGTTTAATTAAAGCTCCATGTTACCATGAGGAATTAGCAGTCGTGTTGTTGTCTACATGCATTTACAATCCATGTCAGTATAGATTGCATAATGACATGTAATGAGTCTGATATGGACATGAGTGTTTAATGATATCTACTTGAGTGTTTAAGGATATGTACATGAATGTGTAGCGATATGTACATGGGTATGTAATGTTATAGATGTATACAGGAATATTTAACAATCTGTACATGAATGTTTGATGATATGTACATGTATGTGTAATGATATGAACATGAATGTGTTACAATATTGTACATGAATGTGTATCTATATGTTCAGGAGTGTTTGATGATATGTACATGAATGTGTGTCTATATGTTCAGGAGTGTTTGATGATATGTATATGAATGTTAAATGATATATACATGAATGTGTGTCTATATGTTCAGGAGTGTTTGATGATATGTATATGAATGTGTGTCTATATGTTCAGGAGTGTTTGATGATATGTATATGAATGTGTGTCTATATGTTCAGGAGTGTTTGATGATATGTATATGAATGTGTGTCTATATGTTCAGGAGTGTTTGATGATATGTATATGAATGTGTGTCTATATGTTCAGGAGTGTTTGATGATATGTATATGAATGTTAAATGATATATACATGAATGAATATTGATATGTACTTGAGTATGTAACTATACGTAGATCAATGATTTATTAAGTGTACAAGAATGTTTAATGATATGTACAAGAATGTTTAATGATATGTACAAGAATGTTAAATGATATGTACAAGAATGTTTAATGATATGTACAAGAATGTTTAATGATATGTACAAGAGTATGAAATGATATATACATGAGTGTGTATGTCGCTGCCTGAACAGTGTATCCGGAGAGATGCTTCGTAGAAATATATATCAAGTATGTGTATCTCCCATTCGTTTCTTATTCCTAAAACAGAGGACAGCCCTTTAGAAATTCAGCCATAAAGATATTCATGTATTATGTACAGACTTGCAGCTGTACCATTGATGATACATGAGACATTTACATAACTGTACAGGATGGATGGACCTGTGATACGGTTAATCCACTGATAAAGCAACTAAGGATTTACTACCAAGGGTATAGATGTCAAAGCTGCAGAGTATAATAATGTACATTAATCAAAATGAGCTGTGATGCCCAGAACGTCAATGTTAAAGTTATCTATATTACTACTGTAATCAAGTATTTCCATTGAGTGAGTGAGTTTAGTTTTACGCCGCACTCAGCAATATTCCAGCTATATGGGCCGGTCTGTAAATAATCAAGTATGGACCAGACAGTCCAGTGATCAACAGCATGAGCATCGATCTACTCAATAGGGATATGATGACATGTGTCAACCAAGTCAGCTAGCCTGACCACGCGATCCCCTTAGTCGCCTCTTACGACAAGCATGGGTTACTGAAGATCAATTCTAACCCGGATCTTCACGGGTTATTTCCATTAAAGTCAACTGACTAGTTAATGATTGTCATACTTTCAGAATTGTGAGTTTTTGAGGATGCTTTGCTTACATGTTAAAGTTCTCCAATATTTATTGATAATTAATCGATATTTAATAAACGGTTATCGGTCTCTGTGATCTATATTGATAGTCAGTAGAGTATATTGTTAATACAGGTATTTTTGTTCGATTTTGTTAATCAAAAGTAATCTACTGATTTTTATATTAAGAAGGTCTGGATCAAAATTAAATGTCACCAATTATCTAGCATGTGATGTGTGTATGAATGTGAATAATCATAAAATATTCTGATTAAGGTAAAGTGTGGTTGACCGCCGCCATGTAGCTTGAACATTGCTGAGTGTGACGTAAAACTAAACTCACTCAATCACCCTAAGTGAATCAGGGCCCATTTGCAGATGCCAAAGGTGCCTGATTTCAATCAGCAGAGTTGTGACTCTGAGAGGCACCAGAAACCTTTGATCATGGTTCAGTTCCTGGTGGACAACAGTTACGTTTCTAGGGTCATCTTGGGGCGGTTGGGTAGCCTGGTGGTTAAAGCATTCGCTCGTCACGCCGAAGACCCGGGTTCGATTCCCCACATGGGTACAATGTGTGAAGCCCATTTCTGGTGTCCCCCACCGTTATGTTGCTGGAATATTAGGGCGTAAAAGCAAACTCACTCACTCCCTTTAGCTTCATCTTCTGAAATAGCAGAGTTAAGTCAAATGCATACAATCAAGGGCGCCAGGTTATACCCACCTCACATATCCTTACATAAAGCTGATTTGGGTGAATTAGTTCCGTGGAGTCTTCAAGGCAATGCTATCACCTAAAGAACTATTTACAGGATCATTATAATCTTGTTGACTGTTTATGGTTGTTTATTATGCAGAAATGTTATGTCATCTGTTAGAAAAACCAATGAGGTTTAGTTGATTTCGTTGCACATTGTTTATTGTTATTCATCAACCAAGTCATGTATTTTGAAGAAATTGCTTTTTTTGTTAAGATTATAGCCATTGTTGCTATCCCATGAAGATACAGGTAAAATTTGGTCTTAGCAATCAAAAAGGGGATTAGGTGATCAAGCTTGCTGGCTTGATTGATGCAAGTCATCATGCCATAATTGCAGTGGTCATTATGTCAATCACTGGATTGTCAGTTCCAGACTGATTTCAGCAACATGCAAGTATAGAACTTTTCAACTGCATATGGTTGATTTTAGGATCTTAGGTGATAGTTATAGTTATCATTATTAGATCAAAGATGCTTTGATGTAACATCTACGATCACAGATCTCAAATATTATGAAAGGGATGTCATGTTTTCTAGATGTTAAATGGGATACGTCTGAAAATAAACCAAGATTTTTTCTAGAAATGTGATTTGTTACATTTTATGTTGAGTATTGATACCATAATTAATGCAGGTCGGTGTTGATGATATCCACCACTGGATTGGTTCCTCCCGACACACTGTTATTTACCGACTGTTGTCATGTAGCTGGGTGATCTTCTCATTGTGGGCAACATTGAGTGAAATAGGGAAACAATTTCAGTTCCATCCTCTAATTCTTTTAATACCAGTGCGACATGAAGAGTATCTCATCTCTGAAGGTATAATAATAATAATAATAATAATGAGAATATTTATAACGCGCCTTTTCCAGGCTAGATATCCTGCTCAAAGCGCACAATCTGATCATTATTACCCCGGATAACCCAAGCTGCCTGTTAGGCGAAAGAAGGTTAACAGTCTCACGACTTATTTCACCGGGTACCCATTTCCTGCTGGGTGAACAGAGGCAATTGTGAACAAACTCACTTGCCTAAGGTGAGACCACATGTATCACATGTGCTTCCTTGTGGTATAATCCTGGTTAACATTATTTACAGTGACCTAATGGGGATTCTGATGATAAAGGATCGCCAGCAACCTGTGTAGGTTGTAACAGGTTGGGGGCGGTGGGGTAGCCTAGTGGTTAAAGCGTTGGCTCGTCACGCCGAAGACCCGGGTTCGAATCCCCACAAGGGTACAATGTGTGAAGCCCATTTCTTGTGTCCCCCACCGTGATGTTCCTGGAATATTGCTAAAAGCCGCGTAAAACCAAACTCAGTCAGTCACTGTAACAGGTTGGGTGATTATGATCGTGACGTGGCTGATGGCGTGTCGTTCCCTGCGGATGAAGATCTTTGTTCACAATATCCATCACTGGATCATCTGATTCAGATTTGATTATATACAGCACCTTTTCACATTGCTGAAATAATGATGAGTGCAGTGTTTTACAACAAAAGTACTTTTAGTTTTAACACAAAAAATGGCATACTATGAAACACCCTCACTCATCATTTGGATTAACGATTTACCCGGATTAAGGCATCGTGGATATGAATAGTGCCAGATTGTGTGTTCCATGTACCAGTCCTCAACATCACGGTATCCTTGTCTTGAATAAACGGCACGTAGTCAGTGTGCGAAATAGTTTACAAATTTAGTTGGTCAGTCGGGCTAACTATGCCTGAGAGTTACCAGCCCACATAATAATTCACTTGCCCGAAATTTGCATGTAGAAACTAAGCAAAAACTTACAAAAAAATATAATACCATAATTTATCAAGTCATAATCTTGCATGTTTTTAAAGTTCATTTTAACTAAACAAGTCGGAGAGAGTGATATATTCAAAAAATGATCCCATGAAAGTTGACTAGCCAGTCGGACCAGTGACTTGGAGATTTATTGGCCCGACTGAATTTTTACTAGCCACGGGTAGCGGGCCAGTAGCTGTTTCGCACACTGTACGTAGTGCGAGGTTTCCCTGTATTTACTGTGACACCGAAGTCAGGTAACACTATTTATCAGAGAACCTGGGCTATGGCAAGCAGGACCGTGCTCGTTGTATTGGTCGAGGCATGTAATCGCATCCCAATAGTGTGGATGGATGCTCATGATGTCAGTCACTGGATTGTGTGGCCCAGGCACAAATTTACAGACCGCCGCCATATAACTTGAATATCGTGGCGTCAAACAACAAAAAGTGGAAGAACACATACTAATTCAAAATGAATATCAGCTTCAATGTTCGGTACATCATAGATTAAGCGGGGCGGTGGGGTAGCCTAGTGGTTAAAGCGTTGGCTCGTCACGCCGAAGACCCGGGTTCGATTCCCCACATGGGTACTATGTATTAAGCCCATTTCTGGTGTCCCCCGCCGTGATATTGCTGGAATATTGCTAAAAGCGGCGTAAAACCAAACTCAGTCAGTCAGTCATAGATTAAGCATGCCAGAACACACAGCAATATGACCACTGTCGTCCTAGCGATGGTGAATTATCAGCAGCAGTGATTAAACCCCTCTGTGCAAAGCTGTAGAAGTAGAACGAGTTTCCATCAGTTACGCTCCTGTATATTTCGTTACGTCAACGAAGTAATGATTGAAAGTGTTTTTATTTCTGAGACTGATTAAGACATGTTCGATAATGCTGACTGGTTGAAAGAGAGAAATTGGAATTGTGTGTGTTTTTTTGGTTTTTTGTTGTTTTTTTGTTTTTGTTTTGTTTGTTTTTTAGGGGTGTTATGTAAAGAAAGGTTTCCGCCCTTCATTTGCTAAAGTATTTTTGTATATGATGTAGTACTAAAATTACTGATCGGCAAGTAATTATCAAAAGCTAGAAATGGAAAACGACTGTTCATGACACAATCGTCTGATCACAACAACTTATGTACAGTTAATAGTGTGCACTGGAATAAGATCCAACCATTTTAATCATTCTTGTTCACTGTAGAGCTCACCAAAAGTATCATCAAGAAAGATACAAAAATCACTTGTACTGCACTGTCGAGTAATACGAGATAACAATCTCTCGTCTTATGTAATTAAAGATAAGGACCAAAGAGATTAACATTCTAATTAAAAAGAATTGAAATTCAAATCAATTATTAATATTTGATGAATGTGTCTACGATTCATTTCTTGATTCTGTCTTAAAGTGAGTGCATTGATGCGCTGTTTTGATTAAATAACATAAAGAAATTAATGGCATCAGGAACCGTTAATCATGGCATTACAGGCATCAAAGACTCAACCACAATGCATGGAACCAAAAAGCGGAAAGGTAAGAAGACTTTTGCGCCAAAAGGTGTCACATTCCAAGGTGTCGATGGTCATAAACATATGGTGAAATATGTGCACCGACTGTCCGAATGTGCACTCCAGCTGATCGAAGCGGAACCATGCCCGTCTAAGCATATGAATAGAAATCCCCAGTATTTAACCTATTTTGACAGTAACTCATAATTCACTCTAAACTACGCCTCCCAGGGAGGCATTCCACGTCCCTAAATCATTGCCTCTCTAACCTTTGATATTAGACCTTGTCTGGACCAAAGATCACTTCGGGGAAAATGAATTACTCGTGCCCTCTGTTCATTTT